AAAAGCCATATTTGCTGATTTCAGCAACTCTCCAAAGTGATAAACGACAGAAGAAAGAAACGCTACGATTTTCCCATCAACATTTCGCCCACATACATCTCTCTAAACGTGAAATTTTCCATTCCTAACAAAACTCTCGAAAGTCGTTTACATTTTCTTGGCTTCCTTGATCAATTATCTTGTATAAAGAGATATAGAATGTAGTTTTATTTGCTCATGTGACCGCTTAGGACCGGAATTGCGTGACAGGTGTAGCTAGGTGAAGCTTGTCAGAGTCGCAGATTTTAAAACGCATCCAAGACAAAAATACGACAGTACCCAAAAATCTTTTTGATGGTTTTCAGAGATGAAATGATGGATTATAAAGGGGTATTTAAGCTATTGTTGTAGCTGTCTGGCAAGGGGAGATAATTGACCTCAAAGTTATCATATATTTGGATGAATCGAAAAGTCTAAAACACAGTTATATATTTGCCTCTGTTGATTGACAAGCTGGCAACCAAATTGACTGATACTTCAGTCATACATGGAAATAACCAAGTTTGCCTATTTGAAGTTTAGGGTAGATCCTTTAAATTTTGACAACTAAAAGTAAGGGGACCTTTATATTCTCTTGATCTTGAGCTGAAGGAAATCCAACTCTCACGATAATAAGTTAATAGACTGCTCTCGCAAGTCTTACAGAAACGCCACGGATAATTTCCAATGCAAATGCTAGATGTCGACCTCTTTATTTACAAGCCACGAATGAATCTAAAACCGATTTTTTTTGTTTTCGAAAGAAGCTTTCTCGGTAATTTTGGGACTATTTCTGCTCGGATGGCAAATGATAAGTAGTTTGTAAGTCGAAAATTGTTTATCGTGAAAAATTTTTTTGAGTCAACTCTGCACATCAAGTCCTTCGAGACATTTTAATTTAAAGACATCACTTGGGCTCATGAATCACGAAACACACTCGCGTTCATTAGATATCCTAATTTTTGGGTTGTGGAAATGCAACAGATGATTAAAAAGTTTAAAGTGGTAACCGTATTGTGTGATCACGGACACGGTATGTTTATTTCAAAGTTCTCTTAATAAATTATTGAGTGAACACGTAAATAGGAACCCATCATCACAACCTATTAAAAACTGCTCTAATTCCAGATCCAGCCTTTTCACAAGGTTTGTTAGGCGCGTTCATTAATGCGTATCTCTTTTTGTTTTAAGTGTTAGAACATTGATGTTGGTAATACTCATTTATTCATAGTAATTGAACTTCGAATCTGGATAGAAGTCCGATGTTCCCTGAATTCTATCAGTCTTTGAAACTTTCGCTTCCATTGTCTATCAGATCATTGATTGATGTTCTTCTTTTTTCCGAAGAAAAATTTTGAAAGCAATATGTTATAGTTAGATAATTAATCATGAGAAACAGAAACTTTTTAGAATTTAAAGGTTTGTGACTTTATATGCAAAATGTATTTTGAAATGTTATCTCAGTTAATAAATATATTTAAGTCACACAAAATGCTCGTATATTTATGGAAAATGATAAAGCAGGTGTTGAAAACTGAGAAGGTAAGACAATTGAGAGGTTGAGGTTCCTGAACAAATATTGAATAAATTAAAATCGAAATGGTTTGTTGAAATGGCTGCGAAAAATCTATCTGCGATATGATCGTTTAAGCTGTTCAACGAAGTGAATTTCTCTTTTTTATCAAATAAATTTTTCATATGTTATCCTTCTTTATCTTGCAAAATATCGCCTGATTTTATCCAACTTGTTCGAGGGCCTCCTGGGCTGAGCACCAAACAAAGTTTGGCGACAACAGTGAAGGAAAATTGTCAATCAAATTTGGCGGAAGTCAAGTGACCCAAGATGTTAAGACAGCTACAAGCTATTGAAAATAATAACTGTTTTGCTTCCAATTGGCAAAATTTATGAATTCTAAAATCAAGAACGGTACCATAGTAACAGTGTCGCAAGATTTCTCCAACCTTTCAGGTACTTGGAATGGATAGCTACTAAATAAAAACGAAGGAGCTGACAAAATTTACCTCCAATTAGAACTAAAAATTCATGGGGAAGTTAAAATGATTTATTAAAGACTGTTTACTTTGGTCTCGTACGATCTGAAAGCACGTTTCGGCCTCTAATCAAACATCACATACCTTTCATTCCGTAAATGCTCAATATGTTTTTAAATATCTTAATATTTTACTAGAGGGCTAAATATCGTGTAAAACACTTAAAATACGTCATACGTTTAATCAGCTGATAACCATGACAACAATTCTGGCATAGAACTGAGCACTGTCCCGAAAACAAAGCGAGAGAAAAACGCATGGATCAGCTTAAAATTAGCTCTCGATACTTCAAAATATCACTCGATTTTCTAAATATCTTATGCTTTCCATCGCTTCCAGTTGCCTCTTCGATGAACTCTACAACATCCTTATGCGGCAAGAGTTCAAATTTTGTCTTAGTCGTAGAGAGGCAGGGGTCACCCCGAAATTATTGAAAAGAGCTGCGAGGGAAGGGGAGGAGATGAATGAGAAGGAGGAAGGCTGATGCTGATCGGCCTTGAAACCATTCTTGGAAAGGTTTTTTTTTTTTTTTTTTAGGGGGCGCCTCAAACGTTGCAATTTAATGAAGCTGATTCACGACTGACCATAGCAAAATAGTCATTAGCGGATTTCGCTAAATAATTATTCATAAGATTTAGAGTCCCACAGTTATGATATACATTAATTATTTTGAGTGGTATGGGGGAGGAGGGGGGGTAGTGTTCTATAGGCCACTTTATCCATTCTTGTAACTAGCAAGTCCCTTCCTCGCCACTCCCTCCTGTGAGTGATGCCATCATGTCCTTTTATTACTTGACTGTTCTTCTTTCCTGTTACAGAATCAAACCCTGTGTATCGCGAGGGCAACCTTGTCTCCTCCACAAGAACCTTTCTGACGCGAACATTTATTAAAAACGAGTTTCATCACTTGAATGTGTCGCTTGTGGGAACAGTGGCAGTGTCTGATGTGTTTGACTGCACGTTAGAATGTCTCAGTAATCTGTTCTGTTTTTCTGTAAACCTGGCCGCCTTCAAAGGAGCCCATGGAGAACTTTGGTGTGAATTGTTGTCATCTGATAAGTTCAGAAACTCCACAGTGTATAAAGGGAATAAAAGTTGGCATCATTTTGCCATTGAGGTAGGAAACACTCTTAATTTTGACAAATAAACGTGCTAAAAGTTTGACAGCTTTGTCAAGATCGTCGAGAGAAGGCAGTCAGGTTAAAGACACTGCAAATGGTGCGGGTCTGTTGTCGTATTCATTGTAGTGACAACCGCATTTCCATGGCATGTTGTAAAGCATGCAAACACTTTCTCGTGCCGCGCAATATCTTACTTACCATCTTCTGTTTCCCAGGCACGTCGGCAGACTAAGAAAATACATGTGACTTGGTTGAAAATTTAAGTCAAGATACCAGATTCTGTTTATTCAAAGAATGGATCATTGTTTAAATCGTCAGTATTTGGTCAGCCTTTAGTCAATTTTTGTTTTAAAATGTTTTATCGACAGACTTCTTCAGTTTCTGCTAACGTTCGAAACAGTTAGAAAACCTTTCCAGACTCATAGATCCCGACGGCTTAGATGTAAATTTTATTTTTAATCTCATCAAGCCATTTTCTAAAATACCAGCAAAGGAAGTAAACTCAGCAATCATCTTAATACTGTAGATGAAAATAAAAATAAATAAATAAATAATAATAAAAAAGCCTAGATGCTATCATATGAGGTCAATACCATGAAAAATTTATTCTAAAACAAATCCGGACCGAATTGACGGAATAACGCGGATTGGCAGATTCATGTACCCCCTATTCAAAGTACATGGAACATTTTCTACTTTGTTTCTCTGCAGTCACCTTGCTCTTCGTCACCTTGTCAACACCAAGCTACATGTGTCACAAACTATAGAGATGGCTCGTTCGGATGCCGCTGTGCAAAAGGCTTCAAAGGAGAATATTGTGAAAAAGGTGAAAAGTTTGGCATGGCATTAAATACTATAATTCTCAAGTGACTGATATAAATATTTTTACCTAACTCTGCGGCTCGAAAATGTTCTAAAATAGCTAGCGAAAATATAACTAAAAAACATTTATGCAATGTATAAAGATGTTGAATCTGTCGATGTTGAAGTTAATTAAGGATCTGACGGAGAAATCGAAAGGTCTGAGGTGGAGAACTGAATATTTATTTTTATTTTTACCAACATCTCCTTAGGGACTAATTATCATTTACCACGGGAAAGGAGGGTGGAGGATTTGGAGGATCACATGATTTTCAGGGGGACTGAGGAGAGCGGATCATAACAATATTGCAGAGCCTTGACTGAGGGGGGTAGTTTTATCGTGCCACAACCAAAATCCTCTCACCTCACCCCCCCCCTCGGCAGTAAATTATAACTGGTACCAAAGTAATATTTAACATCCCCTATTGCTCAAAGATTTTGCTAATAGCTTGACACAAAAATGTACAATTTTGTGTCCCATACTGGACTGTGATGGAGCCTAAATATCTCAAACACCTGACTTTTTTTTTTTTTTCTTTACATTTAGTTGTTGGATCCTGCAAAGAAGCTTACAACCTTTTCAAGTAAGTGATACCAAATGATTATCTTTTCGAGCATAAAATAAAGACAAAATTATCGAATAGTTTCGACGTCAAAAGAAGATTTTTCACCGGAAACTAATATGATCACGGAGTAATTTATTTTTATCAACTGAGTTGATAACGTAAATTGGCCACCGTAAAGAGTTTCAAAGCTGACGTTTCGAGCAATTGACGACGGGCTCTGACAAAGGGCTAACGCTTGAAACGTCAGCTTTGAAACTCTTTACGGTGGCCTATTTACGTTATCAACTCAGTTGATAATACCAAATTACCCTGTTATACTCTCCCATCGAAGCAGCACCACAGTTTCTTTAGAAACTTACCCCCTCTAATAATATGATCAAGAATGGATGTTTTCGTATCAAGCAGGTCAAACGCCAGTCAACTGGTTCCACTGGACCTTGACTCTAAACCAACCACAGTCCTCTGTCAGATGGGGGATTTTGGATGCGGAGATGGAGGATGGACGCCTCTTATGAGGATTGACGGCAGCAAGGTAAGCCCCATATGGCGGAATATTCTTGGCGGGGTTTTCTTGCGGGTGATGAAGCGCGAGCAAGAAATGTTCAGAAGCGTCGAAACTACGATAGAATCTCTTAGCAACTCGCCCATATTCTTTTTATCGCGGTCTCTGCTTGCGGAAATTCCTCTGGCATGAGTGCTACAATACCCTAATATCTAAAACGCCTGCAAGGACCTGCAAGTAGGGTATAGATTGATGGCTTTTACGCGAACTGTATTACTGATTTCATGAGGGTTCTTCCGTTGGTGATGCGTCTTGTTATTTATGTTTAAGGATAATTGAAATCTTAATTCTTTTCAGGCAACGTTTGACTATGACTCTCACTACTGGAGTGATAAAAACCAATACAACATCACCGGCGGGAGGACTGGGTTTGACTCACAAGAGACCAAGTTACCGACCTATTGGAACACACCTTTCTCCAAGATCTGTCTCGGTATGAAGATAAGTGGACAGCTCAGGTTTATTGTCATTAACAAGCAGGCCAACTCTCTGTACTCTCTGATTGCTGATGGGACATACCACGCTACTTCACTGGGTCGTAACGAGTGGAAGAAGTTGATTGGTGCGAAGGGCTCTTTGCAACTAAACTGTAACAAGGAGGGCTTTAATGCTGTAGCTACCATAAGTGGTCATTCTAAAGCAAGAGTAGGTTATATAGCTAACGATGGAATCCATTGTGGCTATTGTGACTCCAGAATTGGGTTTGGTACCGGAGGATATCCTAATAACTCCATTACATGTGGAAACGTAGCAGCTAATTCCCCAGATAACGGTAACAGAAATATCAAAGCTATGGGATATATTTTGGTGCAGTAAACTCTTTCAATCCATGTATTACGTTAGAAAACTCACGAAGACTGGGGGAGGGGAGGTGGGGTACTGAAAAGAGCCCTTTTCCATCTATCCATCCCTCTCCTTTCTCCCCTCAAACGCCAAAGTGAGAACTTGCTAGGGAGACGATAGATTGCTTGCTGTTTAGTTCGGCTTCTAAATTGATTTTTTCCAATATGCGGCGGGTGCGAAGACGAGAAGAGACTTGAATTAGGACTTTACCTGCATATGTTCCAATTGTACAACTTTTTGAGCCCTTATTTTGACGGAAATTCAGTCGACTGGTTACTAAAACTACTGTGATGTTTAAATCTTAAAAAAGAAGCAAAGCCAGGATAACAGCAAGAGAACATTTTCAGGCACTCGCTAAACATTACCACTAATAGGCCTTTGCTGACCATGCCAAAAGCCACCTTTCGGCGTCGGCAAAACTGATAAGCATGGTAACATTAACAAAAAATGGCAATATTCCTTCAAGTTGAGGTCACCCTTGATGCCAACTTCAGTCGTTATTTCTGATGCTATTTTATTATTATTTTTTTTTTTAGCTCAGAACTAGTTGTAGCCTTACATAGATTTACAACATCCTTTATATATACGTACTTATGAACGAGAATATATACTCTCAATTGAAATGGTTTTGTCAAAGAAAAAAAGCAGAAATGAATAAAGGAAAAAGCCAAAGAGGAACTGTTTACAGAAATCTAAATTCTAAGTATTCATGTTGGATACTGCACATGTGTGAAAATAAGTCAAAAGATAGGAGAGAAGAACTACCTCAACCTAACTCTCACTTCAAAAAAAAGTTTCGTAACTGATCAAATTATAGTGAGCTTTCTGTTTTGCTTTCTGCATATTTCTTTGACAACCTTTTTGCCTTAAGTTGTACTTGTATTCATGTCTATTCAACTTTATTAGATAACTGAGATACAATAGAACCTGTATTTAGCGGTCACCTTGTATTGAGCGGTCAGTTGTCAAAGTCCCAGAGTCACCGCAATGTCCATCTCTGTTAAGCGGTTACCTCTACTAAGTGGTCAGAGTCAACCTACGTATCTAGTCTCAATAGCCTGTTTTTATCGTTCTACTCCTATATCGAACGGTCACTGAAAACACGACCACTTAAATAAAACTAAGAATAATCCTTCAAGTAATTTTTGATCCACGTTTCTCTCCCAAAATTAAAGTAATATTTTCGAGCGAGGTTCTGTACATCAAGTGGTCAATTACAGCATAAAGAGGGGTTGTTTATAGTTTTTGTAACATTCCTAAACTGTGAAACCTATATCAAGTGTCACCCGCCATTTACCATGGGCTTGATACAGGTTCGACTGTACTACGAGCGCCCTGATTGGTCAAAAACCTGTAAACCCATTTGAAAAGTTTGTAAGTCATTCACCTTTGGTTCGTGATTTACAAACTTCTCTTCCTCCTTCAACATCCCACGTGAGTTATTACGCCGGTAGAAAGTGTGGTCTATTGTTTAATTATTATTACTAATAATAACTATTATTAATTATTATTAATCATTAAGATTTGCGAACTAGCCCTTAATGCAAGTACGTAATCACTTGTAAAGACTTTTACCATACCTAACACTAGGGCCCAGTTGTATAAAGGGTGGATAACGCTATCAAACTGATAAATCGCTATCCAGCAGATAAGTAATAACAAACCGTATAGCGTTATCCACCGGATAGAGATTTATCCAGTGGATAGCGTTATCCGATCATCGAACAACCGGGGCCTGGTCTGTACAAAAAAATACGTCCGACACAAGAACCTTATTATCCTGCAGTTTCTTCACAACAGCTAGAAAAAGTGCATATGATAATTTGATAACAATAGGTATAAAATGAATGAAAAACAATTAAGTCATTATTCACCACTTGGATGGTTTATTTAGATCCAACATAATGACCAGCTCCCAGTTAGCTCATTAGCTCAGTTCGTAGAGCGCTGCACCTGTGTCGTAGAGGTCATGGGTTCAAATCCCGTACGGGCCTGAATTTTTTTTTGGGCCTTATTTCAACTACTAGTGCAGTAGTGTTCATAGATGCGAGGATCGTTTATATTCGTTTCTTCACCGCAGTGAGCAAATATGATTTTTCATATATTTACAGTCATTAGGCAAAAGATTATTTGAATAAAAATAAATTAAAAAGAGGGGCGCCGAGACACCATATTAGAAACGCCACAGTAAGACAATACAACTAGAATCAAGATTTCTAATTCAGATTCATAATTATGTAAAATGTTTGCAATTAGAAGAATTACAATATAGTGGAGTAATCTTAGAACTGAATGTTCACTGTGCCAAATACAAGAGTTCATCAGATACTTTAAATAAGATAATGTCTGCTCGGAAGAAGGGTATAAATAATGAATACCGTATTTCTTCAACTAAGCGCCCACGCCCTAATAAGTACCCTTCCCCGAATAAGTGCCTACCCCCTATTTCATAATGCCGAAAAATCGCCCCCCGACCCCCCCCCCTCCTTTGAATAAGCGCCTACCTCTTCCCTAATTTTCTTAAGTAGTAGGGATACCAGGAAAACTTGTTTCTATTGACAAGTTTGAGTAAACAATGACCGCATTGGTTTGCACGTCAGAAAGCTCGAAGCAGGTGCAATCATTTTGAAAATTATACTTATTCGGGGAAGGGCACTTATTAGAGCGTGGGCGCTCAGTCGAGGATATACGGTATTCATTATTTGTAACCTTTATTCCGAGCAGACATTATCTTATTTAAAGTATCTGATGAACTCTTGTATTTGGCACAGTGAACATTCAGTTCTAAGATTACTCCACTATACTGTAACCCTTTTAATTGCAAAAATTTTCCATAATTATGAATTTGAATTAGAATTCTTGATTTTAGTTGTATTGTCTTGCTGTGGCGTTTCTAATATGGTGTCTCGGCACCTTCTCTTTTATCAATTTTTATTCAAATATTATTTTGCCCATTACTTACTTGTTTTTCATTTATTTTATAGCTATTTTTATCAAATTATCATATACACTTTTTCTACCTATGTACTGCTAGGGGCCTAATCAGCCTCATTAACCCGAGTTGAAAAAAAGTTACTCAAGTCACTTGCTTACAGTGAACATTCAATTCCAAGATTGCTCCACTATATTGTAACTCTTCTAATTGCAAAAATTTTATATAATTATGTGTTTGAATGAGAAATCTTAATTCTAGTTGTATTGTCTTATTGTGGCGTTTCTAATATGGTGCCTAGGCGCCCTCTTTTTTATTCATTCTTATTCAAATATTATTTTGCCTATTATTTATTTGTTTTTCATCTATTTTATAGCAATTGTTATCAAACAATCATATGCACTTTCTATAGCTGTTGTGGAGAAATTGTAGTGTAATAAGGTTCTTGTGTGGGACGCATTTTTTGTACAGACCTTGTGTTAGGTATACTAAAATCTTTACAACTAATTTCATACTTGAATTAAGGGATAGTTCGCAAATCTTAATAACTAATAATAATTGATAATAATTATTAGTAGTAACTAGGATTAGTAATAATTAAGCAATAGAACACACTGTCTATCAGTTTACCGGCTTAATAACTCATGTGGGATTTTGGAGGAGGAAGAGAAGTTTGTAAATCACGAGCCGTAAGTAGCAATCTATAATCTGCTTAGCAAGTTCTCACTCTGGCGTTTGAGGGGAGAAGGGGGAGGCGAATGATAAATGAAAAAGGGCTCTTTTCAGTACCCCACCTCCCCTTCCTCATTGTAAGTGAGTTTTCTAAACGTAATACATGGATTGAAAGACTTTACTGCACTAAAATTTATCCCATGGCTTTGATGTTTCTGTCACCATTATCTGGCGAAAGAGCTGCTACGTTTCCGCACGTATTGGAACCTCCTCTAGTACCAAACCCAATTCTGGAGTTACAAGAGAGACAATCGTTTTGCTGGTTAGCTACATAGCCAATTCTTGCAATACCTACAGCATTAAAGCCCTCCTTATTACAGTTCAGTTGCAAAGAGCCCTGCGCACCAATCAACTTCTTCCACTCGTTACCCAGCGCGGCATCATCAGCAATCAGTGAGTGCGGAGAGTTGGCTTGCTTGTTAAAGACAATAAACCTGAGCTGTCCACTTATCTTCATACCGAGACAGATCTTGGAGAAAGGTGTGTTCCAATAGGTCGGTAACTTGGTCTCTTGTGAGTCAAACCCAGTCCTCCCGCCGGGGATGTTGTATTGGTTTTTATCACTCCAGTAGTGAGAGTCATAGTCAAACGTTGCCTGAAAAGAATTAAGAGGATTTAATTTATCCTTAAATTTAAATAACACGATGCATCACCAAAGGAAGGACCCTCGTGAAATCAGTAATACAGTTAGTGTACAAGCCATCAATCTATACCTTACTTGTAGGCGGGTTAATTAGAAATTTGTCGCGTTTTTAGATATTAGGGTATTGTAGCACTTATGCAGTAGAATTTCCGTTATCTGAGGTCTCGTTTGCCGCAAGGCAGTCGACACTTAAAAAACAACCCAAAAAAACTACAGGCAAAATATTACCTTTTGTGACAGCATACCACCCAGGGGTTAAAAATTTAAAACAAATACTGATGCAAGAATGGAACCTCATCCAAAATCAGCCACTGCTGAAAACAATTTACAAAACGCCTCCGATTATATCATACAAAAGAGGTAAATCGCTCAAAGACATACTCGTCAGAGCGAAGCTTTAATTAAAGGCTTTTGCGTCGCAAACGTAAAACCACACAGGGGAGTCTGTGTAGGCCTGTCTATGACCTTTTCAATCTGTGATATTTTCCAGGCAGGCCCTGCCTGCGTGACATCACACTCTGTACAATTGTACAATATTCCAAGTACAAAACCGCATCATTTCCGGCACATAGCACTTTTATTACAGACCCAGAACAACAAGTTGGTTCTACATACAGTACAAAGATAGATAAAATACAAAAAAGCGACATTAAAACGCCTTTGCGGCGTAAAATGCGAAAAGAAAGCCTCAGAAAGAAACACACCTCTGAGCTTTGAAAAAGCGCGGATCGAAAATACCAACACATGATTGGTTACTCTCTTTCCAAAGAGAACCAATGAAAACGGAACACCGTTGATCCTAACCGCAGGTAACCCAAGTATAAAAGGATGGTTTTCCACCCTTTTTGGCGGGATTGGAATTGAGAATTTCTCTGCCTGTCCCTGATTAACACAGCCTGACTTAACAAAGCAGCTGAAGAGATTCTTTAAGAATCGAAACCGCCGGTCCTGCTAGACGATATACTTCACTTTCAGTTTTACCTGAAAAGGATGTCAGCTTTTGAAACACCATTGCGGCCACCAAAAACGCCAGACTACCGTCCAAATCTGGACGAGGAGATGGAATTAACGTACACTGATCCGAACCTAGAATCCGTCCCAGAGGATAGCCCTCCAGCATCACAACTCGAGCCAAGGCATAAAGCTGAATTAGCCAAACAACGCGGCAACGAAGGTCTACGCCTTCAAAAAGAAAGCCGTCAAAAAGAAAACCTTCCGAGGAATAGCCGCTCCACGCGGCAGCCAAGGAAGAGGAAACATGAAGACACCATCAGCGCTATCCAGTTCAAGAAGCAAAAAACTGAAACCTCCATTTTAAAACTGGAGAGAAACTTACAACAAAAGACTTGCCCTAAGTCGCTTCAATACAAGGCGAAGGCAAACGTCACGCCTGACGAAACCTTTCGACAGGAAATAAGCGCTATTAAAAGTCACGCCGAAGAACAATACGTTAGCGCCCTAGTGCGCTTCCATCAGCGTAGACTTGTTAGTCACAAGAACAAACTTGAAAAAGCTTATATTGCCAAGTCTCGATCACAATACCATGTAAATACACGTGAAAGATCACGTTCGCCCTTGAGGAACACTGTAAATACTGATGCCAACAGGATAGACAAAATAGAAAATTAGCTGTCAGAGCTGAAAGATCTTATATGTACACGCTTTCAGAGTGATAATAAACATGTTGAAAAGTACAACAGTGTCACCTCTGAAAAATCATTCGCCAAACCCACTGCAGCAAAAAGGCTATCCAAGAATAATAAACGCAAAAAGCGTAGAAAAAATACACTACACAAGCGAGTGACTACAGAAAGGGACAGAATACCGATTTTCTACACTTTAACAAAAATCTACAAACCTTTGCCAGTGGGTAGACCGATTATATCGGGCTGCGAAGGACCAACTGAAAGGATATCATCCTTTGTGGATCATTTATTACAGCCTATTGCTCAAAAGCAAAAAATCGTATCTCAAAGATACGACTGATTTCATCAACTTTATAGAGAAAACGCAAGTGTCAAATGATACTATTTTAGTATCAATGGATGTAACAAGCTTGTACACAAACATCCCACAAGAAGAGGGTATCACAATAGTATGCCAAGCATACGAAAAATACCACAATAACAGCCCTCCCATTCCGTCCCACTACTTAAAACAAATGCTCGGGCTTATACTGAGAGAAAATTCGTTCCAGTTCAACGGAGTAAACTATCTCCAATGTTTTGGAACTGCCATGGGAACACGAATGGCGGTTGCTTTCGCCAATCTCTTTATGGCAGAAATTTAAACAAAACTGCTTCACCAAAGCAGTATGAAGCCGAGAGTATGGAAGCGTTACATTGACGACGTTTTCTCCCTGTGGGATGTTCGTAAACAAGACATTGATCTATTCATAGAACAAGCTAACACGTTCCATCCAACTATCAAGTTCACGGCTGAAATCTCAGAGACTGAAATCACATTCTTAGACACGGTTGTCTACAAAGGTGAAAGATTCCAAAACGAAGCTATCCTCGACGTCAAAACTCACTACAAACCGACCGAGACCTTTCAGTATACACACTATTCATCTTGCCACCCGCCAGGTGTTAAGAAAGGCTTTATTAAAGGAAGAAGCTATCAGACTTCTAAGAACAAACTCCTCGGAAAGAAATTTCCAGGAGGCCATGTATAAGTTCAAAACACGACTTGAAGCACGTGGTTACCCAAAAAGCCTAATTAAAAAAACGTTATCTGAGGTCTCGTTTGCCGCAAGGCAGTCGACACTTAAAAAACAAACCAAAAAAACTACAGGCAAAATATTGCCTTTTGTGACAGCATACCACCCAGGGGTTAAAAATTTAAAACAAATACTGATGCAAGAATGGAACCTCATCCAAAATACCTCTTGAGAGCTTCATGCACTTTACCTATTTTAAGGCGATTTCCATGGTGAAAAACAAGAAAAACCTTTGGGGGGTTGGTCTATTTCGCCTCGGAAATAACCAAAACAGAAACCAGTTTGCCTGTTTGAGTTTTGTGGTAGACCCTTTAAATTTTGACAACTCAAAATAAGGGACTTTTATATTCTCTTGATCTTGAGCTTGAGGAAATTCAACTCGCACGACGATAAACTAATAGACTGCTCTCGCAAGAAACGCCACAGATAATTTTCAATGCAAATTCTAGATGTCGATCTCTTTGTTTACAAGCCACGAATGAATCTAAAACCGGTTTTTTTTTGTTTTCGAAAGAAGCTTTTTGGGTAATTTTGGGTCTATTTCAGCCCGGATGGCAAATGATAAGTAGGTCGAAAAGCTTGTATTAGGACCGAATTTGTTTATCGTGAAATTTTTTTGAGTCAGCTCTACTCATCAAGTTCTTCAACACATTTTAATTAAAAGACATCACTTGTGCTCATGAATCACGAAACGCATCCGCGTTCATTAAATGTCCTAAGTTTTGGGTTGTGAAAATGCAACGGATGGCTCAAAAAGTATATATTGTGGTATATAAAAAAATATTGTATGATCACTGACACGGTACGTTTATTTCGAAGTTCTCTTAGTAAATTATTGAGTTAACACGTGAATAGGAACCCATTATCACAACCTATTAAAAATTTATACTAAAAGACTATCTTTGAAAGTTTTTTTGGTATAAATCTTTAATGTTATGTCTAGGTTTCAACTCCTAATACACTTCTTCATAACGCACTTGTGGCATTTCTGTTTCTTTTGTCATAGCGCAGAATTTCACGAAAACCTTCTGATTTTCCTTCTTGCCAAGTCATCTGCACTGTCGATTGATTTTTCGTTGGCAAGTTTTTTCTTAAAATAGCAACTTCCCTCACAACAAAACTGGCCTTGATGTAGTCGAATTTTTTTTTCCATTGACACTGCAGTCGCAAACTTGTCCCCGGGAAAACTTATCAAGTTACTCTTCTTTTATTATTAGTAACTCTTTCCTCGTACTCCTAATGGCCACTAAAAAGATCTAACTCGCATGCAGTATTATCATTTTTCTAGGAAAATTTGCCATTAAGAGAAAGGGAGCTAGGAAACGATTTTTTTTTTGTTTTAAAGCTAAAATGTCACGGCTGAATTACGGAGAAATGTTTGACAGACGGTGCGCAGAGTTGATTTTCAGATTTCAGGTGAACGATTTAGAACGGCGTACGTTTAATACAACGTTTTCCACGATTGCAATACTGGTAACATGAAAATTTTTTCAGGCCATGTGAATTCGCTCATTCTACAGCATCCATGGTTTCAAAGCTTTTAGTTTTAGCTTAGCATTTCACGTGAGGCCTGTTTTTTCATACGGAATATTGGGAATTTATTCCAATTATAAAACAAAGACTTGTTTAACTGGACGACTCGGGTTGCCCTTAGTAACAAACTCAAACCACCGGGTGTTACTGCAAGCTTATATAGATGTAAGTGAATGCCCATTGCGCAATCAGCTCATCAGAAACTATTTAGAAAATGATGCCTCTTTGCATTCATGGGAAAGGTAAAGCGGAAATTGGGTCAAATTATTTTAAAACTAAAACAACTTAAAAACCTGATTTTCGACTCGTATTCCCATCCGCTCTCATAAAACTAATCATAGCACTGAGACATCCATTGTTGCAAAAACAAAGGAATGTGCTGGTTTGTACATCAACAACTTAGGAGCAGCTGGTTATTATAGTTATTTAGTTATTTATAGTAACTCAACTCAGAATCTGGATATAAGTCAGATGTTCTCAGAATTCGATCAGTCTTCGTTTTTTGTTATAGTTTCACTTGGCTAGTGATGGGCGTTGAATGCTCTAAGGAAACTTGTTTTAACAATTTGCATTATAACTTATAATTTGGGACGCTGTTGAATGGCACAAAGTTCAGTTAACTTCCTTTCATATATATCTGCTGTTGCAAAGTTGCATAATTCAAGTCAATCTGTTGCCCTCCAACGTTCAGCTTTTCAACTTGGTCAAATGCAATTAACATTCCATCACTCTATATCGAAAAATGTTTTTCAAGAGTAAGCTTAGTCATTGATTGAAAAAGCCTTTATTCAGCTTCAATTTAAATTCTAAATGTAGCCAAAAAAACAGCTACACTCCTTTAAACCTGGATAAAATTACATAGGTTTACCACAGGCTTTCGACCTTGCCATGCTCAAAATAATTTATCAAAGACTTCCAAAATTGGGTTCGCAGAAACATTCGATTCCTATGTCTATCATATAATTGATTGATGTTCTTCATTTTTCCGAAGAAAAGTTTGAAAGCAGTTTGTTATAGTTAGATAATTAATTCTGAGGAACACAAATGAATGATAACATTACAGCACCGAAGAGCTAGAAATCTTTACAATTTAAAGATTTGTGACTTTAATTGCAAAATGTTATTCTAAAATGTTACTTCAGTGAATAAGTATATTAAAGTCACTCAAAATGCGTGTATATTTATGGTAAATGAGACGGCAGATGTTGATAACTGAAAAGGTAAGACAATACAACTTTATGTTTGAGAGGTTCCTGAACGACTATTGAATCAAGATCAAGTAAATTAAGATCGAAATGGCTTGTTGAAATGGTTGCGAAAAATCTATCTGTGATATGATCGTTTTAAGTGTTCAACGAAGCGAATTTCTCTTTTTTTTACCAAACTTAATTTTTCACATTTTATCCTTCTTTATCTTGCAAATTATCGCCTGAATTTACCCAAGTTGATCTAGGGCCTCCTGGGCTAAGCACCAAACAGAGTTTGGCGACAACAGAGGAGGAAAATTGTTAATCAAATTTGGCGGAGGTCAAGGAACCTCCCAAGATGTTGAGACAGCTTCAAGCTGTTGACAAAATAATATCTGTTTTGCTTCCAATTGCCAAAATTTATGAATTCTAAAATCAAGAAAGGTACCATAGTAACAGTGTTGCAAGATTTCTCCAACCTTTCAGGTACTTGGAATGGATAGCCGCTGAATAAAAACGAGGGAGCTTACAAAATTCACCTCCAATTAGTACCAAAAATTTATGGGGAAGTTAAAATTATTTATTAAAGGTTGTTTACCTTGGTCTTGTATGATCTAAAGGCACGTTTCGGCCTCTAATCAAACGTCACATATTGTAAATGCTCAGAATGTTTTTAAATATCTTCATATTTTACTAGAGGGCTAAATATCGTATAAAACACTTAAAATATCTCATAGGTTTAATCAGCTGATAACCATGACAACAATTCTGGCATAGAACCGAGCATCGTCCCGAAAACAAAGCGAGAGAAAAAATGCACGGATAAGCTTAAATTAGCTCTCGATACTTCAAAATATATCTCGATTTTATAAATATCCTATGCTTTCCACCATTCTCAGTTACCTCTTCTATGCACTCGACAACATCCTAATACGGCAAGAGTACAAATTTTGTCTTAGTCGTAGAGAGGCAGGGGTCACCCCGAAATTATTGAAAGAGCTGCGAGGGAAGGAGAGGAGATGAATGAGAAGGACGAAGGCTGATACTGATCGGCCTTGAAACCATTCCTGAAAAGGTTTTTTTTTAGGGTAGGCCTCAAACGTTGCAATTTAATGAAGCTGATTCACTACTGACTATAGTAAAATGGTTTTTTATCTCCCTACACAGTGGATTTCGCTAAATGAACGTTCATAAGATCTAACGCCTCATAGTTATGATATAACTCAATTATTTTGAGTGGTACGGGGTGGGGGAGAAGTGTTCTATAGGCCACTTTATCTTCTCTTGTACCCAGCAAGTCTCTTCCTCCCCACTCCCTCTTGTGAGTGATGCCATCATGTCCATGTCCTTTTATCATTGGACTGTTCTTCTTTCCTGTTACAGAATCAAACCCTGTGTATCGCGAGGGCAATCTCGCCTCCTCCACAAGAACCTTCCTGAGACGTACTTTCATTAAACACGAGTTTCAATGCTTGAATGTGCCGCTTGTTGGAACAGTGGCAGTGTCTGATGTGTTTGACTGTACGTTAGAATGTCTCAGCAATCCGTTCTGTTTTTCTGTAAACCTGGCCGCCTTTAAAGGAGCCCATGGAAAACTTTGGTGCGAATTGTTGTCATCTGATAAGTTCAGAAACTCCACAGAGTATAAAGGGAATAAAAGTTCTCATCATTTTGCTATTGAGGTAGGAAACATTTCTTAATTTTGACAAATAAACGTGTCAAGATCTTAGAGAGAAGGCAGTCAGGTTAAAGCCACTGCAAATGGTGTCGGTCTGTTGTCGTATTCATTGTGGTGACAACCGTATTTCTCGTGCCGCGCACTATCTTACTTACTTACCACCTTTGTTTCCCAGGCACGTCAGCATGCTAAGAAAATACATGTGACTCGCTTGAAAAGTTTAGTCAAGATACCAGATTCTGTTTATTTAAAAAATGGAATCGTTGTTTAAATCGTCAGTATTTGGTCAGCCTTAAGTCAATTTGCGTTTTAAAATGTTCTATCGACAGACCTCTTCATTTTCTGTGAAGGTTTGAAGCAGTTAGAAAACCTTCCCAGACTCACAGATCCCGACGGCTTAGCAATATACTTTTAATCTCATAAAGCCAATTTTTCAAATATCGGCCAAAGTCTTAATACTGTAAATGAAAATAAAAAAAACCTAGATGCTATCATATGAGGTCTATGCCATGAAATATTTATAGTAAAACAAATCCGGACCAGATTGGCGGATTCATGTACCCCCCTGTTCACCACATATATATAGATTTACAACTGCGTTTCAAAATACTTGAACTATTTTCCTACTTTGTTTCTCTATAGTCACCTTGCTCTTCGTCACCTTGTCAACACGAGGCTACCTGTGTCACAAACTATAGAGATGGCTCATTCGGATGTCGCTGTGGAAAAGGCTTCAAAGGAGAATATTGTGCAAAAAGTGAATAGTTTGGCATTGTTTTGTAATATACATAAATAAAATATACATCCAACAGCATTAAGGGACCAATTATTAGTTACCCAGGGCAGTGGGGGGTAAAGGATTTTGGAGGATGACATGATTTCCAGGGGAAAAGGAGGGGGAATCAGTTGTCGCTGACAGAGTTTAAATGGGGGGGGAAAACTATAAAATTGACTGCCAATTTTAAAACTGCCAATAAGTGGAGATCGAAAGAACATTACAGAGCCTTAACGGAGGGGGGAGGGGGGGTGGTTAATTTTATCGTGACACAACCAAAATCCTCTGACCCCCCCTCCCTCCCTCCCTCGGCAGTAAATAATAACTGGTCCCTAAGTAATGTTTATCATGTCTTATTGCTCAAAGGTTTTGCTAATAGCTTGATACAGCAATGTGCAATGACTCTAGTTTTCAGTGTGTCCCCTACTGGATTGTAATAGAGCCTAAATACCTTAAACACCTCACTTTTTTTATTCGTTACATTTAGGTATTACGTCTTGCAAAGATGCTAACAACCTTTTCAAGTAAGTGATACCAAATGATTACCTTTTCGAGCATAAAAAATGTCAAAATTATCGAATAGTTTCGATGTCGAGAGAACATTTTTTGCCGCAAACTAAAATGATCACGCATGGATTTCTTTTCGTGTCAAACAGGTCAAACGCCAGTCAACTGGTTACATTAGGCCTTGACTCTAAACCAATCACAGTTCTCTGTCAGATGGGAGATTTTGGATGCGGAGATGGAGGATGGACGCCTGTAATGAAGACTGACGGCAAGAAGGTAAGCCTCATATGGCGGAACATTCGAATTCTTGGCGGGGTTTTCTTGCCAGTGATGAAGCGCAAGCAAGACATTTTCAGTAGCGTAGAACTACGAGAGAATCTCTCAGTAACTCGCCCATATTCTTCTCGCGGCCTCTGCTTGCGGAAATTCTTCTACAATACCCTAATATCTAAAAACGTGACAAATTTCTATTTAACCCGCCTACAAGTAAGGTATAGATTGATGGCTTGTACACTAACTGTATTACTGATTTCACGAGGGTCCTTCCTTTGGTGATGCATCGTGTTATTTAAATTTAAGGATAAATTAAATCCTCTTAATTCTTTTCAGGCAACGTTTCACTATGACTCTCACTACTGGAGTGATAAAAACCAATACAACATCCCCGGCGGGAGGACTGGGTTTGACTCACAAGAGACCAAGTTACCGACCTATTGGAACACACCTTTCTCCAAGATCTGTCTCGGTATGAAGATAAGTGGACAGCTCAGGTTTATTGTCATTAACAAGCAAGCCAACTCTCTGCACTCACTGATTGCTGATGGGACATACCGCGCTACTTCCCTGGGTCGTAACAAGTGGAAGAAGTTGATTGGTGCGCAGGGCTCTTTGCAGCTGAACTGTAATAAGGAGGGCTTTAATGCTGTAGGTATTGCAAGAATTGGATATGTAGCTAACCAGCAAAACCATTGTGGCTCTTGTAACTCCAGAATTGGGTTTGGTACTAGAGGAGGTTCCAATACGTGCGGAAACGTAGCAACTCTTTCCCCAGATAATGGTGACAGAAACATCAAAGCTATGGGATATATTTTAGTGCAGTAAAGTCTTTCAATCCATGTATTACGTTTAGAAAACTCACCTACAATGAGCAAGGGGAGGTGGGTTACTGAAAAGAGCCCTTTTTCATTTATCATTCGCCTCCCCCTTCTCCCCTCAAACGCCAGAGTGAGAACTTGCTAAGCAGATTATAGATTGCTACTTACGGCTCGTGATTTACAAACTTCTCTTCCTCCTCCAAAATCCCACATGAGTTATTAAGCCGGTAAACTGATAGACAGTGTGTTCTATTGCTTAATTATTACTAATCGTAGTTACTACTAATGATTATTATCAATTATTATTAGTTATATCATTATTATTAGTTACTATCCCTTAATTCAAGTATAAAATTAGTTGTCAAGATTTTAGTATACCTAACACAAGGTCTGTACAAAAAATGCGTCCCACGCAAGAACCTTATTATACTGCAATTTCTCCACAACAGCTATAGAAAGTGCATATGATTGTTTGATAACAATTGCTATAAAATAAATGAAAAACAAATAAATAATAGGCAAAGTAATATTTGAATAAGAATGAATAGGTGCCTAGGCACCATATTAGAAACGCCACAATAAGACAATACAACTAGAATTAAGATTTCTCATTCAAACACATAATTATATAAGATTTTTGCAATTAGAAGAGTTACAATATAGTGGAGCAATCTTGGAATTGAATGTTCACTGTAAGCAAGTGACTTGAGTAACTTTTTTTCAACTCGGGTTAATGAGCCTGATTAGGCCCCTAGCAGTACATAGGTAGAAAAAGTGTATATGATAATTTGATAACAATAGCTATAAAATAAATGAAAAACAAATAAGTAATGGGCAAAATAATATTTGAATAAAAATTGATAAAAGAGAAGGTGCCGAGACACCATATTAGAAACGCCACAGCAAGACAATACAACTAAAATCAAGAATTCTAATTCAAATTCATAATTATGGAAAATTTTTGCAATTAAAAGGGTTACAGCATAGTGGAGTAATCTTAGAATTGAAGGTTCACTGTGAAAAATACAAGAGTTCATCAGATACTTTAAATAAGATGATGTCTGCTCGGAAGAAGGGTATAAATAATGAATACCGTATTTCTTCAACTAAGCGCCCACGCCCTAATAAGTGCCCTTCCCCGAATAAGTGCCTACCCCCTATTTCATAATGCCGAAAAATCGTCCCCCGACCCCCCCCCCCCCCCTTTAAATAAGCGCCCGCCTCTTCCCTCACTTTCTTAAGTAGTAGGGATATAAGGAAAACTTGTTTCTTTTGACATGTTTGAGTAAACAATGACCGCATTGGTTTGCACGTCAGAAAGCTCGAAGCAGGTGCAATCATTTTGAAAATTATATTGGTTGAAATCAGCGCCTTGGAAATGTTTACAGGAAAATTAGATCTTGACTGCAGCTCGTCCCTAATCGCATTTGAAACAAAGCTGCAATTCTTTTCTTTGCTGACGCGTAGATTTTATTCCTTTCAACATCTTTTTTTATTGTTTTGTTTTCCGTTTTAGTTCAATTCTCTGCTCTGATCTCAGACATCGCGTTTTCTCAAGGTTTGTTATGTGTTTATCATTGTAAAGGAGGCTCATGGGATTTTTGCTCAAAGTTGGCGCGCGCTAGCGTATTTGTTTTTCTAGAAAATTTTTATGATCTCGCTTTTCTAGGTTACTAGAAAAAAAAGGGCGATGAGCAAGGTTCACAGTCTGGAAAAGTCGAAGTTGTTACACACGGGAACTTAAAAGTCAAAAAGCACGCGACAGGTCACTTTAAAATCTCCTTTCCTCTCACAGATTCATTATTGTAAACTGTGCGATAATGCTAATAATTAATCAAATCGTAGACTAATGAGTGTTTTGTTCCATGCAAAAGCCATATTTGCTGATTTCAGCAACTCTCCAAAGTGATAAACGACAGAAGAAAGAAACGCTGCGATTTTCCCATCAACATTTCGCCCACATAAATCTCTCTAAACGTGAAATTTTCCATTCCTAACAAAACTCTCGAAAGTCGTTCACATTTTTTTGGCTTCCTTGATCAATCATCTTGTATAAAGAGATATAGAATGTATGTTTACTTGCTCAAGTGACCGCCTAGGATCGGAATTGCGTGACAGGTGTAGTTAGTTGAAGCTTGTCAGAGTCGCAGATTTTAAAAGGCATCCAAGACAAAAATACGACAATACCCAAAGATCTTTTTGATGGTTTTCAGAGATGAAATGATGGATTATAAAGGGGAACTAAAATTAGTGTTGTAGCTGTCTGGCAAGGGGAGATAATTGACCTCAATATATATCAAATATTTGGTTGAATCGAATAGTCTAAAAACACAGTCATTTCTTTCCCTTTGGTGATTAACAAGCCGTCAACCAAATTGATTGATACTCAAGTCGTACTTTCATTAAGGATGTAAAATATGTATGCAAAACTTCAGAGTAATCAGGCAAATATCATCGCATTGAGAGCTTAATGCTTTTCACCTATTTTGAGACAATTTCCATAGTGAAAACTAAGAAAAACCTTGGGGGGGGGGGTCGGTCTATTTCCTCTCGGAAATAACCAAAACAGAAACCAGTTTGCCTGTTTGAGTTTTGGGGTAGAGCCTTAAAAATTTTGGCAACTGAAAAAAAGAGGACCTTTTGATCTTGAGCTGAAAGAAATTTAACTCGCACGATGATAAACTAATAGACTGCTCCCGCGAGTCTTACAAAAACGCTAAAAATAATTTTCAATGGAAATTCTAGATGTCGATCTCTTCATTTACAAGCCGCAGATGAATGTAAAACCGATTCTGTTGGTTTCGAAAGAAGCTTTCTAGGTAATTTTGGGACTATTTCAGGCCGGATGGCAAATGATAAGTAGTTTTGTATGTCGAAAAGCTTGTATTAGGACCATATTGTTTATCTTGAAAATTGTTTTGTGTCTACTCTACTTAAAAGACATCACTTGTGCTCATGAATCAAGAAACAAACCCGCGTTCATTAGATATCCTAATTTTTTGGTTGTGGAAATGCAACAAATGGTTCAAAAAGTTTAAAGTGTTAGCCATATTGTATAACCAAGGACACGGTACGTTTATTTCGAAGTTCTCGAAAATTAAATTAAGTAAATTATTGAGTTCACACGTAAATAGGAACCATTATCACAATCTATCAAAAATTTATGCTAAAAGACTCTCTTTGAAAGGTTTTTTTGGTATTAATCTTTCATGATATGTGGCATTTCTGTTTCTTTTGTCATAGCGCCAAGTTATCTGTACTGTCAATTGATTTTTCGTTATTATTAGTAACTCTTTCCTCGTACTCCTAATGGCCACCATAAACGGTTTAACTCGCAGTATTGTCAATTTTCTAGGAAAATATGCGATTAAGAGAAAGGAATATAGGAAATAAACGATTTTTTTTTGTTTTAAAGCTAAAATGTCACGGCTGAATTACGGAGAAATGTTTGACAAACGGTGCGCAGAGTTGATTTTCAGATCCCAGTGGTGAACGATTTAGAACGGTGTACGTTTAATACAACGTTTTCCACGATTGCAATACTAGTAACATGAACATTTTTTCAGGCCTTGTGATTTCGCTCATTCTACAGCACCCATGATTTCAAAGCTTTCAACTTTAGCTTAGCATTTCACGTGAGGCCTTGGGAATTTATTCCAATTATAAAACAAAGACATGTTTATCTGGACGACTCAGGTTGCCCTAAGTAACAAACTCAAACCACCAGGTGTTAGTGCAAGCTTTTATAGATGTAAGTGAATGCTCATTGCGCAATCAGCTCATCAGAAACTATTTAGAAAATGACGCCTCTTTGGAGTTACGGGAAAGGTAAAGCGGAAATTGGTTCATATCATTTTATAACTGAAACAATTTCAAACCTGATTTTCGACTAATATTCCCTTCTGCTCTCATAAAACTCAATCGTAGCACTCAGACATCCATTGTTGTAAAACCAAAGGAAAGTGCTGGTTTGTACGTCAGAAAATTGGGAGCAGCTGGAATCGCTCAAATTCTATTGGTGGTAATCAACATTTTAGTTGCTTACAAGTCAGTTGGATCAGAGGCGAGGCTAAATATCTCACATCAGCGACGAGATCTCCTCTCAACATGCTTTTTGGTCTTCTTTATCCCCTTCTATTTGAACTCTCTGCTCTAATTCCAGATCCAGCATTTTCACAAGGTTTGTAAGATACGTTTGAATCGTATCTCTTATTGTTTTCAGTGTTAGAACTTTGATGTTGGTATAATTCATTTATTCGTAGTAATTCAACTCAGAATCTGGATGTACGTCCGATGTTCCCTGAATTCTATCAGCCTTTGTTTTTTTGTTATATTTTCACTTGGCTAGTGATGAGCATTGAATGCTCTTTGGAAACTTGTTTCAACAATTTGCTTTATAACTGATTACTGTTACTGGAACGCTGCTGAATGGCACAATCTCAACGTTCTTTCATGTTTATCTGCTGTTATGAAGTCCCATAGTTGAAGTCAATCTGTTGCCCTCCAACGTTCAGCATTTCAACTTTTTTAAATGCAAATAACACTCCATCACTTCACATTGAGAAATGATTTTCAAGACTTTGCTAAAGTATTGAATAAAAAAGCCTTTACTCAACTTCAATTTAAATTCTAAATGCAGACAAAAAAACAGCTACACTCCTTTAAACTTGGATAAAACTGCGGAGGTCTACAGGCTTTCGACCTCGTCATGGTTTTACTCAAAAGACTGCTAAAATTGGGTTCGCAGAAACACTCGATTCCACTGTCTATCAGACAATTGATTTATGTTCTTCCTTTTTCCGAAAGAAAATTTAAAAGCAATATGTTATAGTAAGATAATCAATACGGAGGAACAGAAACGAATGATAACATTACAGCACCGAAGAGCTAGAAATGCTTAGAATTTAAAGGTTTGTGACTTTATTTGCAAAATTTTATTTTGAAATGTTACCTCAGTAAATAAATATATTAAAGTCATGTAGAATGCGCGTATATTTATGGTTAATGACACGGCAGATGTTGATAACTGAGAAGGTTAGACAATACAACTTAATGTTCGAGAGGTTTCGAACAACTATTTAATAAATTAAAATCGAAATGGCTCGTTGAAATGGCTGCGAAAAATCTATCTGCGATATTTTAAGTGTTCAACGAAGCGATTTTCTTTTTCCACCAAACTAAATTTTTCACATGTTATCCTTCTCTCTTTATCTTGCAAAATATCGCCTGATTTTACCCAACTTGATCGAGGGCCTCCGGGGCTGGGCACCCAACAGAGTTTTGCGACAACACTGGAGGAAAATTTTCAATTGAAATAGGCGGAAGTCGAGGGGCCTAAGATGTTATCGACAAAATGACATCTGTTTTGCTTCCCAAATTTATGAATTCTAAAATTAAGATAGGTAACATGGTAACGGTGACGCAAGATTCCTCCAACCTTTCAGGTATTTGGAATGGATAGCTGCTAAATAAACACGAGGGAGCTGACATAATTTGTCTCCAATTAGATCAGAAAATTCATGGGGAATTTAAAATAATTTTGTCATGAGTAATTGCTGTTGAAAATATAAGCCTTTAGAAGTCTCCACACTGCTTAGTCATGCTGACATGCGTACCATAGTACTTTCTAGAACATTTCATCAAGTCACGCAGTTTAGATTACGTAATACTACTAAAATATCTCAATCCTTTTTACCATTCTCAGTTATCTCTTTGCTGTAATTTACAACATCCTAACACAGCACAAGAAGGAGGGAGGCTGACACTTATTGGCCTTGAAATTATTCTTAAAAAGTTTTTTTTTTTAATGGCATGCCTCTAATGTTGCAATTTAATGAAGCTGATTTACTACTGACCATAGCAAAATGGTTTTTTACCTCCCTAAATAGCGGATTTAGCCAAATGAATGTTAATAAGAGTAACGTAGATATAATAAACATCAATTACTTTGAATGGTATAGCGGGGGGAAGGGAGTACTGTTCTATAGGCCACTTAATCCTCTCTTCTGACCAGCTAGTCCCTTTACCACCACTCCCTCCTTGAAGAGTGCCATCATATCCTTTATTAATGAACTGTTCCTCTTTCCTATTACAGTATCAAACCCCGTGTATCGCGAGGGCAACCGCGCCTCCTCCACAAGAACCTTCCTGAGACGTACATTCATTAAACACGAGTTTCATCACATGAATGTCCCGCTTGTTGGAACAGTGGCAGTGTCTGATGTGTTTGACTGCACGTTAGAATGTCTCAGCAATCCGTTCTGCTTTTCTGTAAACCTGGCCGCCTTCAAAGGAGCCCATGGAAATCTTTGGTGCGAATTGTTGTCATCTGATAAGTTCAGAAACTCCACAGAGTATAAAGGGAATAAGAGTTCGCATCATTTTGCCATTGAGGTAGGAAGCATTTCTTGATTTTGACAAATAAACGTGTCAAAAGTTTGACAGCTTTGTCAAGATCGTAGAGAGAAGGCAGTCTGGTTAATTAAAGCCAGTGCAAATGGTGTCGGTCTGTTGTCGTATTCATTGTGGTGACAACCGTATTTCCATGGCATGATGTAAAGTTTGCAAACATAAAGTTTCTCGTGCGATTATGAATCGGGACCGGATTGACGGAATAGCGCGGATTAGCGGATTCAGGTACCCTCTAGTCACCACATATTTAGAGATTTACAGCTGCGTTTCAAAGTACATGAACCATTTTCCTACTTTGTTTCTGTACAGTCACCTTGCTTTTCGTCACCTTGTCAACACGAAGCTACCTGTGTCACTAACTATAGAGATGGCTCATTCGGATGCCGCTGTGCAAAAGGCTTCAAAGGAGAATATTGTGAAAAAGGTGAATAGTTTGGCATGGTTTTGTGACTGATATACATCCAACAGCATTAAATACTATAATTCTCAAGTGACTGCCATAAATTTTCTACTTAACCTTGCAGCTCTAAAATGTTCTAAAATAGCTAGCGAAAATATATAACTAAAAAACATTTAATGCAATGCATAAAAATGTTGAATCTCTCGATGCTCAAGTTGATTAAGCATCTGACTACGAAATCAAAAGGTCTGAGGTAGGGAACTGGATATTTAATTTTATTTTTACTTCCTCGCAGGGACCAATTATCATTAACCACGGGGGAGGGGGGTGGTGGATTTTAGAGGATCACATGACTTTCGGGGGGAAAGGAAGGGAAATCAGTCGTCGCCGACAGAGTTTAAAGTAATATTTATCATCTCTTTTTGCTCAAAGATTTTGCTAATAGCTTGACACAATAATGTACAACGACTCTACTTTTGTGTCCCCTACTGAACTGTGATAGAGCCTAAATATCTTAAACACCTCACTTTTTTTTTTTTTCTTTACATTTAGGTATTGGGTCCTGCAAAGAAGCTTACAACCTTTTCAAGTAAGTGATACCAAATGATTATCTTTTCGAGCATAAAAAAGGCAAAATTATCGAATAGTTTCGACGTCGAGAGAACATTTTTTGCTGCAAACTAATATAATCGATAACGAATGGATTTCTTTTCGTATCAAACAGGTCAAACGCTAGTCAACTGGTTACATTATACCTTGACTCTAAACCAATCACAGTTCTCTGTCAGATGGGGGATTTCGGATGCGGAGATGGAGGATGGACGCCTGTAATAAAGACTGACGGCAACAAGGTAGGCCTCTTTTGGCGGAATATTTTAAGCGGGGTTTTCTTGCGGCGATGAAGCGCGAGGAAGACATTTTCAGTAGCGTCGAAACTACGATAGAATCTCTTAACAACTCGCCCATATTCTTCTCGCGGCCTCTGCTTGCGGAAATTCCTTTGGCATGAGTGCTACAGTACCCTAATATCTAAAAATGCGACAAATTGCTAATTAACCCGCTTGCAAATAGGGTACAGATTGTTGGCTTTTACGCTAACTTTATTACTGATTTCAAGAGGTCCTGCCTTTGGTGATGCATCGTGTTATTTATGTTTAAGGATAAATTAAATCCTCTTAATTCTTTTTAGGCAACGTTTGACTATCACTCTCACTACTAGAGTGATAAAAAACAATACAACATCCTTGGCGGGAGGACTGGGTTTGACTCACAGGAGACCAAGTTACCGACCTATTGGAACACACCTTTCTCCAAGATCTGTCTCGGTATGAAGATAAGTGGACAACTCAGGTTTATTGTCCTTAACAAGGAGGCCAACTCTCTGCTCTCACTGATTGCTGATGGGATATGGCGCGCTTCTTCACTGGGTCGTAACAAGTGGAAGAAGTTGATTGGTGCACAGGGCTCTTTGCAACTGAACTGTAACAAGGAAGGCTTCAATGCTGTGGGTACTTCAAGTCGTCATTCTAAAGCAAGAATTGGTTATATAGCTAACGAGCAGCACGATTGTCGCTCTTGTGACTCCAGAATTGGGTTTGGTACCGGAGGACATCCTAATAACTCCAATACGTGTGGAAACGCAGCACTTCATTCCTCAGATAATGGTGACAGAGACATTAGAGCTATGGGATATATCTTGGTGCAGTAAACTCTTTCAATCTATGTATGACCTTAGAAAACTCACTAGGAATGGGGGAGGTGAGGTAGGGAACTGAATAAAAGCCTTTTTCCATGTATCCATTCCTCTCCCTTCTTCCCTCAAACGCCAGAGTGAGAACTTGCTAAGCAGATTACAGATTGCTCGCCGTCTACTTGACAAATAAATGTTCCCACGTGTCTGTTCCGTAAGAACTCGCAAATGACGTCAAAATGTTTGTAGAAACGAAAAGGGGTAACAAGAAGGCGCAGTTGAGTTTGTCACTGATGTTATTTTATTGCTGATATTACTGATGTTTACTTTATTTATTCTTATCTCATTTTGACGTCATCTTTTATTTATAACAAAACAAACTCACGGCAATCTGACGTTGATGACGACGTCACCCATGCGTCTATACTCAAACGAATTATATGGAAGAGCCCTTAAAAATAAGAGAATAGTTCAGCTTCTTAAATCATTTTCTTCCGGTATGCGGCGAGTGCGAAGACGAGAAGAGACCTGAATAAGGACTTTACTAGCATGGGCTCCATTTGTACAACCATTTGAGCCCAAAGTTTTACGGAAATTTAGTCGACTGGCTGCTAAATTTATTGTGATGTTTAAATCTTAAAAAAAAAGCATAGCCAAGATGATAACACGAGATCATTTTAAGGCACTCGCTAAACATTACCACCAATACCGCCTCTGTTGACCATGTCAAAGACCACCTCATGTGACCCAGCAAAATCCAGTGGATCATTTTGGTATTTTGGCGCCGGCAAAACTTATAAGCATTAAAAAATTAACAAAAAAAAGGTATTATTCCTTCAGGTTGAGGTCACCCCTTGATGCCGACATAAAGAGGGGTTATTTATCGTTTTTTGTAATATCCGTAATCTGTGGAACCTTTATCAAGCGGTCACCCCGCCATTTCCCGTGGGCTTGATACAGGTTTAAATGTACCAGGAGCGCCCTGATTGGTCAAAAACCTATCGTGTATTACATCAATAAACCCATTTGAGAAATTTTTAAGTCACTCACCTTTAGCTCGCGATTTACAGGCTTCTCTTCCTTCTCCAACATCCCACGTGAGTCATGAAGTCAATAAACTCATAAAGTGTGGTCTAGTGCTTTATTTTTTCTTATCATTATTGATAATAATAATTATCGTTTATTATTAAGATTTGCGAACTAGTGCCTTAATGGAAGTATACAATTAGTTGTAAAGACCTAACACCAGGTCTGTACAAACAATACGTCCAACACAAGAGCCTCAGTTTACTGCATATTGTCCCCAACAGCTAAAAAACGTGCATATGATAGTTTGATAACAATTGATAAAAAAAAAAAAAAACGAATAACAAATAAGTAACAGGCAAAAAAATATTTGAATAAGAATAAATAAAAAAGAAAGCGCCGAGACATCATATTAGAAATGCCACAGTAAGACAATACAACTAGAATTAAGATTTCTAATTTAAATTCATAATTAAGTACAATTTTTGCAATTAAAAGAGTTACAATATAGTGGAGTAATCTTGGAATTGAATATTCACTGTGTCAAACTGACCAGAGGTCATCAGATACTTCAAATAAGATAATGTCTGCTCTGGAAAAAAATTACAAGTAATGGAGACCGTATTTCCTCGACTAAGCGCCCACGATCTGATAAGTGCCCTTCCCCGAGTAAGCGCCTACCCCTTACTTCATCAAGGGTCTTACATTCAAGGGTTCTCATACTCAGGGGTTTATATCCGTGTGTCTTACATGACAGTTCCGTGCACAGATGTTGATATTGATCGTTGTTCCTTACATTCAGGGGTTCAAATCAACGTGTCTTACATGACCAGATGTTGTTATTGATCGTAAAATCTTATGAGCAGGGGTCTGTGTTGATCGTAAATTTTTACATCTAGTGTGTATCCTGTGATCAGATGTTGATATTAACCTTACAATGTCACATCCACGTTGAACCTGTGTCCTAAAGTTTATACCGATGGTCGCCATAAAGATTCATGACAGAAAGAGATTTTATTTGTTCTCCATCAATATCAAATACACTCAAAATGGCGGCCAGTTTTACTTAATAAAAGAGATAATCATCATGCGAAATAAGAGTCGTTGCGAAATTATAACAGTCTATATAGGAATAATTACGACCGCTCCTAAGAATAAAAAATACAGTCAAATTCTCAATAAAAATACCTCACCTTACATAAGAGAGGTCTACAGGGCTTCTCTTATGTACGTGATAAACCTAGAAGTAGATAGCTCGCTAAAATGGGTTCTTTCAACATAGTAAGCGGTCAGATAACAAGCGATGCGCTGTGGAAGTAAGGTGAGATATTTTTATTGAGAATTTGACCGTATTTTTTTATTCCTAAGAGCGGTTATTAATATTCCTATTAAAAACTCTTATAATTTCGCCGTGACTCTTTTTTCGCAAGATGATCATCTCACAGCTGGAACTTGGGCCGCTTCTGAGCTGAATTACCGAGAAATCTTCGACCGACAAACATAGCACTGAAACATCCATTGTTGTAAAAACAAAGGAATGTGCTAGTTTGTACGTCAGAAAATTGGGAGCAGCTGGAATCGCTCAAATTCTATTGGTTGTAGTCAACATTTCAGTTGCTTACGAGTCGCATCAGAGGCAAGGCTAAATATCTCACAGCAGCAACGAGATCTCTCTCAACATGTTTTTTGGTCTTCTTTATCCCCTTATATTTGAACTCTCTGCTCTAATTCCAGATCCAGCCTTTTCACAAGGTTTGTTAGACGCGTTTACTAATGCGTATCTCTTATTGTTTTCAGTGTCAGAACATTGATGTTGGTAATATTCAGTTATTCATCGTAATTCAACTCAGAATCTGGATATAAGTCCAATGTTCCCTGAATTCTATCAGTCTTTGCTTTTTTGTCATGTTTCACTTGGCTAGTGATGGGCATTGAATGCTATTTGGAAACTTGTTTCGACAATTTGCTTTATAACTGATAACTTGGAACGCTGCTGAATGGCACAATCTCAACGTTCTTTCATATTTATCTGCTGTTATGAAGTCCCATAGTTGAAGTCAATCTGTTGCCCTCTAACGTTCAGCACTTCAACTTGGTTAAATGCAAATAACACTCCATCACTTCACATTGAGAAATGTTTCTCAAGACTTAGCTAAAGTATTGATTAAAAAAGCCTTCATTCAACTTCAATTTAAATTCTAGATGTAGACAAAAGACAGCTACACTCCTTTAAACTTGGATAAAACTGCGGAGGTCTACAGGCTTTCGACCTCGTCATGGTTTTTACTCAAAGTAATTTATCAAAGACTGCTAATATTGGGTTCGCAGAAACATTTGATTCCACTGTCTATCAGACAATTGATTTATGTTCTTCCTTTTCCGAAAGAAAATTAAAAGCAATATGTCATGGTAAGATAATTAATACTGAGGAACAGAAACGAATGATAACATTACAGCACCGAAGAGCTAGAAATGCTTAGAATTTAAAGGTTTGTAACTTTATTTGCAAAATTTAATTTGAAATGTTACCTCAGTGAATAAATATATATTTAAGTCACTCAGAATGCGCGTATATTTATGGTAAATGACATGGCAGATGTTGATAACTGAGAAGTTTAGACAATACAACTTAATGTTCGAGAGGTTTCGAACAACTATTTAATAAATGAAAATCGAAATGGCTCGTTGAAATTGCTGCGAAATTTATCTGCGATATTTTAAGTGTTCAACGAAGTGATTTTCTTTTTTCACCGAACTAAATTTTTCACATGTTATCCTTCTCTCTTTATCTTGCGAAATGTCGCCTCATTTTATCCAACTTGATCGAGGGCCTCCGGGGCTGAGCACCCAACAAATTTGCCTCCGATTAGATCAGTAAATTTATGGGGAATTTAAAATTCTTTTGTTATGAGTAATTGTTGTTGAAAATATAAGCCTCTAGAAATCTCCACACTGCTTAATCATGCTGATATGCGCACCATAGTACTTTGTAGAACACTTCATCAAGTCACGCAGTTATTACGCAATACTACTAAAATAGTTCTTTTGTAAGCTTCTCGAATGTTCCAGAACACTTTGTGAATGTATATAAAAACTCATTTATATAATAGTGTTGGTTGTTGTTGTCGGGAGTGACCGACTGTTTAGAAAGCTATACTGTGAGAGAGAGCTGAAGTGGAAGGTTGCTAATTTCAAGAAACGTCGGAGGAAACTTTAAGTTCGGCTCAGGGGTGAGCTAAGATATAGACTATAGTGAGCTTAATTAAGTTTATCGAGGATAAGTACTGTACTGCCTTTAGGAGTCACGGCTTATCAAGAATATCACTTGTTGTTTAATAAGGTAGTTGAGTTTGTAGGATTGCAATGTTTTTCTGTCGGTTGGATTATTATTAACGATTGTTTACTTAGTTTCGTATGATCTAAAAGCACGTTTAGGCCTCTAATCAAACGTCACATATCTTTCCATAAATTCTCAAAATGTTTTACAATATCTCACATGCTTGTTTTCATAACGAACTACAGTCAAACTTGTATTAAGCGGTCACCCACGGAGAATGCCGGGGTGACTATTCAAAATTGGTTCCGAAGAATAGGGGTAATTTAAAAAACACTAAAAAAGCGCCATTTTATGCCATAGTTGACATTTTATTGAATAAAACCTTGCACAAGAATTCTACTAACGTTGATTTCGAAAGGAAAATGTGAATCAAATTGTACTTGAAAGATAATTCTTCGTTTTATTCAAGTAATTCTGCTTTAAGTGACCGCTCAATACAGGTGGAAGATAATACAAAGAGGCCGTTCACACTCACTCAAAGGTGATTGCGACCGCTTAATAGAGGGATGAGAAGTAGGGAGACTGATACTGATCGGCCTGGAAACCATTCTTGCAAAGCTTTTCTTTATTATTTTTATTTAACGGTATGTCTCAAGCGTTGCAATTTAGTGAAGCTGATTTACTACTGACCATAGCAAAATGGTTTTTCATCTCCCTAAACAGCGGAATTCGCCAAATTATGGTTCATGAGAGTAACGTAGATATAATACACATCAATTATTTTGAATGGTATGGGGGGGGGGGGGGCTACTCTTCTATAGGCCACTTTATCCTCTTTTGTAACCAGCCAGTCCCTTCCTCGCCACTCCCTCCTGTGAGTGGTGCCATCATGTCCTTTTATTACTGGACTGCTCTTCTTTCCCTTTACAGAATCAAACCCCGTGTATCGCGAGGGCAACTGTGCCTCCTCCACAAGAACCTTCCTGAGACGTACATTTATTAAACATAAGTTTCAATACTTGAATGTACCGCTTGTTGGAACAGTGGCAGTGTCTGATGTGTTTGACTGCACGTTAGAATGTCTCAGCAATCCGTTCTGTTTTTCTGTAAACCTGGCCGCTTTCAAAGGAGCCCATGGAAAACTTTGGTGCGAATTGTTGTCATCTGATAAGTTCAGAAACTCCACAGAGTATAAAAGGAATAAAAGTTCGCATCATTTTGCCATTGAGGTAGGAAACAGTCTTAATTTTGACAAGTAAACGTGTTAAAAGTTTGACAGCTTTGTCAAGATTGTAGAGAGAAGGCAGTCAGGTTAAAGCCACTGCAAATGGTGTCGGTCTGTTGTCGTATTCATTGTGGTGACAGCCGTATTTCCATGGCATGTTGTAAAGCTTGCAAACACTTTCTCGTGCCGCGCACTATCTTACTTACTTACCACCTTTGTTTCCCAGGCACGTCGGCAGACTAAGAAAATACATGTGACTCGGTTGAAAATTTGAGTCAAGATACCAGATTCTGTTTATTTAAAGAATGGATTGTTGTTTAAATCATCAGTATTTGGTCAGCTTTAAGTCGATTTTGTTTTAAAATGTTTTATCGACAGACTGCTTCAGTTTCTGCGAACGTTCGAAACAGTTAGAAAACCTTTCCAGACTGATAGATTCCAACGGCTTAGCAATATATTTTTTAATCTCACAAAGCCACTTTCTAAAATACCAGCAAAGGAAGTAAACTCAGCAAAAATCTTAATACTGTAAATGAAAATAAAAAAAATGAATACATAAAAAAGCCCAGATGCTATCATGAAAAATTTATACTAAAATGAATCCGGATCGGATTGACGGAATAACGCGGATTGGCAGATTCATGTACCCCCTATTCAAAGTACATGGAACATTTTCCTACTTTGTTTCTCTACAGTCACCTTGCTCTTCGTCACCTTGTCAACACGAGGCTACGTGTGTCACAAACTATAGAGATGGCTCGTTCGGATGCCGCTGTGCAAAAGGCTTCAAAGGAGAATATTGTGAAAAAGGTGAAAAGTTTGGCATGGCATTAAATACTATAATTCACAAGTGACTGCTATAAATTTTTTACTTAACCTTGCGGCTCGAAAATGTTCTAAAATAGCTAGCGAAAATATATAACAAAAAAATATTAAATGCAATGCATGAAGATGTGGAATCTGTCGATGTTCAAGTTAATTAAGCATCTGACGGAGAAATAGAAAGGTCTGAGGTGGGGAACTGAATATTTATATTTCTTTTTACTAACTTCTCAGGCACCAATTATTATTTTTTATCACGGGGGAGCGGGGTGGAGGATTTGGAGGATCGCATGATTTTCAGGGAGACTGAGGAGAGCGGATACATGAAAATATTGCAGAGCCTTAACTGAGGGGGGGGTTGCTTTCATCGTGCCACAACCAAAATCCTCCCCCCCCCTCCCTCCATCGGCAGTAAATTATAACTGGTACCAAAGTAATATTTAAAATCTCTTATTGCTCAAAGATTTTACTAATAGCTTGATACAAAAATGTGCAACTACTCTACTTTTGTGTCCCCTACTGGACTGTGATGGAGCCTGAATATCTCAAACACCTGACTTTTATTTTTTTTCTTTACATTAAGGTATTGGGTCCTGCAAAGAAGCTTACAACCTTTTCAAGCAAGTGATACCAAATGATTATATTTTCGAGCATAACGTAAATAGGCCACCGTAAAGAGTTTCAAAGCTGACGTTTCGAGCAATTGACGAAGGGCTCTGCCGAAGGACTAACGCTCGAAACGTCAGCTTTGAAACCCTTTACGGTGGCCTATTTACGTTATCAACTCAGTTGATAATACTAAATTACCCTGTTATACTCTCCCATCGACGCAGCACCACAGTTTCTTTAAAAACTTACCCCCTCTAATAATATGATAAAGAATGGATGTTTTCGTATCAAGCAGGTCAAACGCCAGTCAACTGGTTCCACTGGACCTTAACTCTAAACCAATCACAGTCCTCTGTCAGATGGGGGATTTTGGATGCGGAGATGGAGGATGGACGCCTCTTATGAAGATTGACGGCAGCAAGGTAAGCCCCATAAGGCGGAATATTCTTGGCGGGGTTTTCTTGCGGGTGATGAGGCGCGAGCAAGAAATTATCAGAAGCGTCGAAACTACGATAGAATCTCTTAGCAACTCGCCCATATTCTTATCGCGGTCCCTGCTTGCGGAAATTCCTCTGGCATGAGTGCTACAATACCCTAATATCTAAAACGCCTGCAAGGGCCTGCAAGGACCTGCAAGTATGGTATAGATTGATGGCTTTTACGCGAACTGTATTACTGATTTCATGAGGGTTCTTCCTTTGATGATGCATCGTGTTGTGTATGTTTAAGGATAAATTAAATCCTCTCAATTCTTTTCAGGCAACGTTTGACTATGACTCTCACTACTGGAGTGATAAAAACCAATACAACATCCTTGGCGGGAGGACTGGGTTTGACTCACAAGAGACCAAGTTACCGACCTATTGGAACACACCTTTCTCCAAGATCTGTCTCGGTATGAAGATAAGTGGACAGCTCAGGTTTATTGTCATTAACAAGCAAGCTAACTCTCTGCACTCACTGATTGCTGATGGGACATACCGCGCTACTTCACTGGGTCGTAACGAGTGGAAGAAGCTGATTGGTGCGCAAGGCTCTTTGCAACTGAACTGTAACAAAGAGGGCTTCAATGCTGTAGGTACTGCAAGTCATCATTCTAAAGCAAGAATTGGTTATATAGCTAACGAGCAAAAGAATTGCCACAGTTGTGACTCCAGAATTGGGTTTGGCACCGGAGGATATCCTGATAACTCCACTACGTGTGGAAACGTAGCAGTAGCTCGCCCAGATAATGGTGACAGATACATCAAAGCTATGGGATATATTTTGGTGCAGTAAACTCTTTCAATCCATGTATGACCTGAGAAAACTCACTATAAAAGGGGGAGGGGAGGAGGGGTACCGAAAAAATATCCTTTCCATCTATCCACCCCCTCCCCCTTCTTTTCTCAGACGCCAGAGTGAGAACTTGCTAAGCAGACTAGAGATTGCTTGCGGTCTACGCAAATGACGTCAAAATGTTTGTATAAACAAAAAGGGGAAACAACAAGGCGCAGTCGAGTTTGTTACTGATGTTCTTACCACATTTTGACGTCATCTTTTATTTACAACAGAACAAAGTCACGGCAATCTGACACGTCAGTATGCCAACTTCAGCTCCTACTTTCTGATGCTTTTTTTTCTTTAATCTCAGAATTAGTTGTAGCTTTATGTAGATTTACAAACATTCTTTATGTATTCTTACTTATAAACAAGGATATGTACTCTCAATTGAAATGGTTTTGTCAAAGAAAAAAAGCAGAAAGGAATAAAGGAAAAAGCCAAAGAGGAACTATTTGGAGAAATCTAAATTCTAAGTATTCATACTGCGCATGTGTGAAAAATAAGTCAAAAGATAGGAGAGAACAAATACCCCTATCTAACTCATATTTCAAAGCAAATTTTCCAAAACTGTTAAATTCCTAGGAGGCTTTTTCCGTTTTGCTTTCTGCGTATTTCTTTAACCACTTTTTTTGCAATAATTTTTACATTATTTAAATTTCTTCAACTTTATGAGATAACCGAGATATAGTATTTAGTATTTAGCGGTCACCCTGTATTGTGCGGTCAGTTGTTAAAGTCCCGAATTTCTTTCCCCTTAAACAATGCAATTTTTACCTCTATTAAGCAGTCACCTCTGTGGAGTGGTCGCACTCAACTATAGTCGCGATGACCCGTTTGCTTTTGTCCTTCACCTTGTAACTCACTCTTCGGCTCGTGATTTACAAACTTCTCTTCCTCTCCCAACATCCCACGTGAGTTGTTAAACCAGTAGGCCGATAGAAAGTGTGGTCTATTGCTTAATTATTACTAATTATTATTAATACTAACAACAATTATTAATCATGATAAAATACTATTATCAATTACTATTAATTATTAGGATTTGCGAACCAGTCCTTTAATGCAAGAATACATTCAGTTGTAGACTTTTAGTATACCCAACACCAGGTCTGTACAAAAAATACGTCCGACACGAGAGCCCCAATTCACTGCATTTTCTCCACAACAGCTTAAAAAACGTGCATGTGATAATTAGATGACAACAGCTAAAAAATAAATGAAAAACAAATAAGCAATGAGCAAAAGAATGTTTGAATAAAAATTGATTAAATAAAGGTTTTCATTTTTGACTTTTCCGTTTTAGTTCAATTCTCTGCTCAGATGTCAAACATCGCGTTTTCTCAAGGTTTGTTATGTGTTTATTATTAAGAAGGCTCATAGGGTTTTTGCCTGAAGTTGGCGCGCGTGCCAGCGTATTGTTTTTCTAGAAAATTTTTATGTTCTCGCTTTTCTAGGTTACTAGCATCAAAAGGGCGATGAGCAAGGTTCAGACTATCGTTTGCTGTAGTAAATATTATCTAAAGGATTTTCGTTATTAAGCTAAGGCTCCACGAAAAGAAGCGCTCGCCAGTGATAACTATCGTGCGATCCTATCGAGCCGCCATGTTTGTTTTGCATGTTTGACATTTAAAAGCTCGCGCTATGTTCGCACCCAGATCTCGTGCGCTCAAAAAACTCTACGAAGCCTCCTTAACATCTGAATATTGCTTTTCCCGTCATCATTCGTTTACACCTAGGAAGAGTATCATATATTTTTTTAATTATCTGGACACACGTTCAATGAACAATGCCATCAACGTTTACAAATTTCCTCCTTACAAGGAAATTTTTGCTTTGAAATTTAGCTCAAAACCAAACTTTTTTGAAAATTTGGTTTGTTTTTAATACTTTAAAATAGTTACATGACGTTTCTAAGATGTCTATCTCCGGCTGTCACAAAACATTGACCCCTCTTAAATTTACTTGGAAAAATGAACTTACAAGTTCCTACTTGAATAAATTGGAATTCATTTGACCGATACGCCGGTTGTTTCAATTTTGCTTTCTCCTCGGGCTGTTATAAAACAGTCCGTAAATTGGCCAATGAATAAACTGTTTTGAAATACCGGAGTTGTTCTTTCTTTTCCGCGTGCAAACCAAGGGAAGACAAAGTTTTTAAAACATTTGACGAGAATTTCATAGGGCTCAATAGGGAGGTTACCTTGCCGCATCGTCGGCAAGAATCGTCGGCCAGAGTCTCGCCCTCGAGTGAAATAATTTACCAAATGTAATAATAAAAGTAACGAGCCTGAAGAAACGCACATTTTTCATTGCTGAGATCAAAGTGCAATGATGTACCTTAACTGATACTCACGGTATCAAACCATTGATGTGAGCCTAATTTTTCTGTTGAGGTCGATGTGACCTCACATAATGAGCGAATTTTTTTTCCTGTTTTTGTAGTAACAAACTAGTGAGCATCTCTGCACGAACTGAGAAAGTAAAAACTTGTATTTGATAAGCTTACGTTAAAGCAAATAGTAAATAAGTTGTCTTTTTTCGATTGAAGCAAGCAGAAAGAATTCGCCAGGTGCGCTTACGGTGTTTACGCGACATTTTTTGGACTTTTCATGTAAGAGCGCATGATCTTTTTGAGGGTCACAGATTTCGTGTAAATATTTGACCCCTCAACACATGGCATACTCGTCCATTTAACGTCTCTAGTTTACAAAGGTCTTAAAACGCTTCACGTGCACGCAGAAAAGGCCATGAAATTCAGCAAAAATAATAGCAGATGCAGATGCCATTTGCAATTTAAAAAAACTGGCACACAAAATAAGAGAAGGTTGAAGAACTTTCTCGAAGTGTTACCTTGAAAAAGAAAGGTAAACAGTATTTTTTTACTTCAAGAAAGGTCACGTAGTCACGCTACAAATATTATTTCTGCGTGAAATTTCTTGATGGTGAAAAGTGGGAACAGCATTTTCCAGTCTTTTTTTCTGGAATCATAGCTCAGTTTACAAATTTCATGGGGCTATTGATATTTCCTTTTAAACGAGGGGGTAGAGTCTTCCGTCATCCACAGTCTGGAAAAGCTGAAGTTGTTACACACGGGAACCTAAAAGTCAAAAAGCACGCGACATGTGACTTTAAAATTTCCTTTCCTGTTGCAGTCTCCTCATAGTAAACTGTGCGATAATGCTAATAAACAATCAAATCCTAGACTAATGAGTGTTTTGTTCCATACAAAAGCCATATTTGCTGATTTCAGCAACTCTCCATAGTGATAAACGACAGAAGAAAGAAACGCTACGATTTTCCCATCAACATTTCGCCCACATACATCTCTCTAAACGTGAAATTTTCCGTTTCTAACAACGCTCTCGAAAGTTGTTCACATTTTTTTGGCTTCCTTGATCAATCATCTTGTATAAAGAGATATAGAATGCGGGTTTATTTGCTCAAGTGACCGCCTAGGGTTGGAATTGCGTGACAGGTGTAGTTGATAGATGCTTGTCACAGTCACAGATTTTAAAAGGCATCCAAGACAAAAATACGGCAGTACCCAAATATTTTTTTGATGGTTTTGAGAGATGAAATGATGGATTATAAAGGGGAACTAAAATTAGTGTTGTAGCTGTCTGGCAAGGGGAGATAATTGACCTCAAAGTTATCAAATATTTGTATGAATCAAATAGTCTAAAAATACAGTCATTTATTTCCCTTTGTTGATTAACAAGCTGTAAACCAAATTGATTGATACTCAAGTCGTACATTCATTAAGGATGCAGCAATACGTATGCAAACCTTCAGAGTAATCAGGCAAATATCATCGCATTGAGAGCTTCATGCATTTCACCTATTTTGAGACAATTTCCATAGTGAAAACCAAGAAAAACCTTGGGGGGGATTTCCCCCTGGAAATAGCCAAAACAGAAACCAGTTTGTCTGTTTGAGATTCGGAGTAGACCCTTTAAATTTTGACAACTAAAAATATGGAGACCTTTATATTCTCTTGATCTTGAGCTGAAGGAAATTTAACTCGCACGATGATAAACTTATAGACTGCTCTCGCAAGTCTTACAGAAACGCCACAGATAATTTTCAATGCAAATTCTAGATGTCGATTTCTTTATTTACAAGGCACGAATAAATGTAAAACCGATTCTGTTGGTTTCGAAAGAAGCTTTCTAGGTAATTTGTAAGTAATTTAGTAAGTCGAAAAGCTTGTATTACGACCGAGTTTGTTTATTGTGAAAATTATTTTGAGTCAACTCTACTCATCAAGTTCTTCAAGACATTTTAATTAAAAGACATCACTTGTGCTCATGAAACACAAACGCCCCCCGTGTTCATTAGATATCCTAATTTTGGGGTTATGGAAATGGAAAGGATGATTAAAAAGTTTAAAGTGGTAACCACATTGTATATTCACGGACACCTACGGTACTTTTATTTCGAAGTTCTCTTTGTAAATTATTGAGTTAACTCGTAAATAGGAACCCACTATCACAACGTATTAAAAATTTATACTAAAAGACTCTCTTTGAAAGGTGTTTTTGGTAGAAATCTTTAATGATATGTATAGGTTTTCAACACCTACTATACTTGTTCATAACGTACTTATGGCATTTCTGTTTCTTTTGTCATAGCGCAGAATTTCACGCAAACCTTCTGATTTTCCTTCTTGCCATGTCATCTGTAATGTCAATTGATTTTTGGTTGGCAAGTTTTCCTTTAAATAGCAACTTCCCTTTCAACAGAAACAAAGGAAGCTAGAATGGAAGCTGGGAAATAAACGATTTTGTTTGTTTTAACTCTGAAGTGTCCGGTTGAATTACGGAGAAATGTTTGACAGACGGTGCGAGTTGATTTCCAGATCTTAGAGGTAAACGATTTAGAACAGCGTAAGTTTAATACAACGTTTCTACGATTGCAATACTAGTAACATAAAATTTTTTTCAGGCCTTGTGATTTCGCTCGCTCTACAACATCGTTTCAAATCACTCAGCTTTTGCGTAGCATTTCACGTGAGACCTGCTTTTACAACCTGAATATTGTGAATTTATTCTAATTGTAAAACAGAGACTTGTTTATCTAGACGATTCAGGTTGCCCTTAGTAACAAATTTAAACCACCGGGTGTTACTGCAAGCTTATATAGATGTAAGTGAATGCTCATTACACAATCAGCTCATCAGAAACAATTTAGAAAATGACGCCTCTTTGGAGTTACGGGAAAGGTAAAGCGGAAATTGGTTCATATCATTTTATAACTAAAACAACTTCAAACCTGATTTTCGACTAATATTCCCTTCCGCTCTCATAAAACTCAATCATAGCACTCAGACATCCGTTGTTGAAAAAACAAAAGAAAGTGCGGGTTTGTGCGTCAGCAAATTAGGAGCAGCTGGAATCGCTCAAATTCTATTGGTTGTAGTCAACATTTCAGTCGCTTACAAGTCAGTTGCATTAGAGGCGAGGCTAAATATCTCACATCGGCGACGAGATCTCCTCTCAACATGTTTTTTGGTCTTCTTTATCCCCTTCTATTTGAAGTCTCTGCTCTAATTCCAGATCCAGTCTTTTCACAAGGTTCGTTAGACGCGTTTACTAATACGTATCTCTTTTTGTTTTCAGTGTTAGAACATTGATTTTGGTAATATTCAGTTATTCATAGTAATTTAACTCAAAATTTGGATATAGTCAGATGTTCCCTGAATTCGATCAGTCTTTGTTTTTTGTTATATTTTCACTTGGCTAGTGATGGGCGTTGCCGGAATTCTCTTAGGGAGCTTGTTTCAACAATTTGCGTCATAACTTAAAATTCGGGACGCTGTTGAATGGCACAAAGTTCAGTTAACTTCCTTTCATAAATATCTGCTGTTATAAAGTTGCATAGTTCAAGTCAATCTGTTGCCCTCCAACGTTCAGCTTTTCAACTTGGTCAAATGCGACTAACACTCCATCACTCTACATCGACAAATGTTTTTCAAGAGTAAGCTTAGTCATTGATTGAAAAAGCCTTTATTCAGCTTCAATTTAAATTCTTAAGGTAGCCAAAAAAACGGCTACACTCCTTTAAACCTGGATAAAATTACGGCTTTCGACCTTTCCATGCTTTTGCTCAAAATAGTTTATCAAAGACTTCTAAAATTGGGTTCGCAGAAACATTCGATACCTATGTCTGTCAGATCATTGATTGATGTTCTTCATTTTTCCGAAGGAAAGTTTGAAAATTATGTTATAGTTAGATAATTAATACTGAGGAACACAAACGAATGATAACATTACAGTACCGAGGAGCTAGAAATGTTTACAATTTAAAGGTTTGTGACTTTAATTACAAAATGTTATTCTAAAATGTTACCTTAGTGAATAAATATATTTAAGTCACTCAAAATGCGTGTATATTTATGGTAAATGACACGGCAGATGTTGATAACTGAAAAGGTAAGACTATACAACTTTATGTTTGAGAGGTTCCTGAACAACTATTGAATAAATTAAGATCGAAATGGCTTGTTGAAATGGCTGCGAAAAATCTATCTGTGATATGATCGTTTTAAGTGTTCAACGAAGCACTTTCTCTTTTTTTATCAAACTAAAATTTTCACATGTTATCCCTCTTTATCTTGAAAAATATGGCCTGATTTTACCCAACTTGACCGAGGGCCTCCGGGGCTGAGCACCAAACATAGTTTGGCGACAACAGTGGAGGAAAATTGTTATTCAAATTTGGTGAAAGTCAAGGGACCCAAGATGTTAAGATAGCTTCGAGCTATTGGCAAAATTATATCTGTTTTGCTTCCAATTGGCGAAATTTATGAATTCTAAAATTAAGAAAGGTACCACTGTAACAATGTCGCAACATTTCTACAACCTTTCAGGTACTTGGAATGGATAGCTGCTGAATAAAAACGAGGGAGCTGACAAAATTCACCTCCAATTAGAGCAAAAAATCTATGGGGAAGTTAAAATTATTTATTAAAGGCTGTTTTCCTTGGTCTTGTATGATCTGAAGGCACGTTTCGGCCTCTAATTAAACGTCACATATTGTAAATGCTCAGAATGTTTTTAAATATCTTCATATTTTACTAGAGGGCTAAATATCGTGTAAAACACTTAAAATATCTCATAGGTTTAATCAGCTGATAACCATGAGAACAATTCTGGCACAGAACTGAGCATCGTCCCGAAAATAAAGCGAGAGAAAAAATGCACGGATCAGCTTAAATTAGCTCTCGATACTTCATTAATACGGCAAGAGTACAAATTTTGTCTTAGTCGTAGAGAGGCAGGGGTCACCCCGAAATTATTGCGAGGGAAGGGGAGGAGATGAATGAGAAGGATGAAGGCTGATACTGATCGGCCTTGAAACCATTCTTGAAAAGGTTTTTTCTTTTTTTAGGGTATGCCTCAAACGTTGCAATTTAATGAAGCTGATCTACTACTGACAATAGCAAAATGGTTTTTTATCTCCCTACATAGCGGATTTCGCTAAATGAATGTTCATAAGATCTAGAGTCCCATAGTTATGATAGACATCAATTATTTTGAGTGGTATGGGGGTGGGGGGGTAGTGTTCTATAGGCCACTTTATCCATTCTTGTAACCAGCAAGTCCCTTCCTCCTCGCTCCCTCCTGTGAGTGGTGCCATCATATCCATGTCCTTTTATTACTGAACTGTTCTTCTTTCCTGTTACAGAATCAAACCCTGTGTATCGCGAGGGCAACCTCGCCTCCTCCACAGGAACCTTCCTGAGACGTACATTCATTAAACACGAGTTTCAATACTTGAATGTGCCGCTTGTTGGAACAGTGGTAGTGTCTGATGTGTTTGACTGCACGTTAGAATGTCTCAGCAATCCGTTCTGTTTTTCTGTAAACCTGGTCGCCTTCAAAGGAGCCCATGGAAAACTTTGGTGCGAATTGTTGTCATCTGATAAGTTCAGAAACTCCACAGTGTATAAAGGGAATAAAAGTTCGCATCATTTTGCCATTGAGGTAGGAAACACTCTTAATTTTGACAAATAAACGTGTTAAGAGTTTGACAGCTTTGTCAAGATCGTCGAGAGAATGCAGTCAGGTTAAAGCCACTGCAAATGGCGTCGGTCTGTTGTCGTATTCATTGTGGTGACAACCGTATTTCCATGGCATGTTGTAAAGCATGCAAACACTTTCTCGTGCCGCGCACTATCTTACTTACTTACAACCTTTGTTTCCCAGGCACGTCGGCAGACTAAGAAAATACATGTGACTCGGTTGAAAATTTGAGTCAAGATACCAGATTCTGTTTATTTAAAGAATGGATTATTGTTTAAATCGTCAGTACTTGGTTAGCCTTTTAGTCAATTTTTGTTTTAAAATGTTTCATCGACAGACTTCTTCAGTTTCTGCGAACGTTTGAAACAGTTAGAAAACCTTTCCAGACTCATAGATCCCGACGGCTTCGCAATATATTTTTAATCTCATAAAGCCACTTTCTAAAATACCAGCAAAGGAAGTAAACTCAGCAAAAATCTTAATATTGTAAATGAAAATAAAAAAATAAATAAATAAAAAAGCCTAGATGCTATCATATGAGGTTTATACCATGAAAAAATTTTACTAAAGCAAATCCGGACCAGATTGACGGAATAACGCGGATTGGCATGTATTCCCTATTCAAAGTACATGGAACATTTTCCTACTTTGTTTCCCTACAGTCACCTTGCTCTTCGTCACCTTGTCAACACGAGGCTGCGTGTGTCACAAACTATAAAGATGGCTCGTTCGGATGCCGCTGTGCAAAAGGCTTCAAAGGAGAATATTGTGAAAAAGGTGAAAAGTTTGGCATGGCGTTACATACTATAATTCACAAGTGACTGCTTTAAATTTTTTACTTAACTTTGCGGCTCGAAAATGTTCTAAAATAGCTAGCGAAAATATATAACAAAAAACATATTAAATGCAATGCATGAAGATGTTGAATCTGTCGATGCTCAAGTTAATTAAGCACCTGACGGAGAAATCGAAAGGTCTGAGGTGGGGAACTGAATATTTATTTTTTCTTTTTACTAACCTCTCCTCAGGCACCAATTATCATTTTTTATCACGAGGGAGGGGGGTGGAGGATTTGGAGGATCACATGATCTTCAGGGAGACTGAGGAGAGCGGATACATGAGAATATTGCAGAGCCTTAACTGAGGGGGGGGGTTATTTTCATCGTGCCACAACCAAAATCCTCTGACCTCCCCCCCCCCTCCCTCCATCGGCGGTAAATTATAACTGGTATCAAAGTAATAATTAAAATATCTTATTGCTCAAGGATTTTGCTAATGGCTTGATACAAAAATGTACAACTACTCTTCTTTTGTGTCCCCTACTGGACTGTGATGGAGCCTAAATATCACAAACACCTGACTTTTATTTTTTTTCTTTACATTTAGGTATTGGGTCCTGCAAAGAAGCTTACAACCTTTTCAAGTAGGTGATACCAAATGATTATCTTTTCGAGCATAAAAAAAGAATCAAAATTATCGAATAGTTTCGACGTCAATAGAAGATTGTTCGCCGGAAACTAATATGACCACGGGGTAATTTATTATTATCAACTGAGTTAGTAACGTAAATTGGCCACCGTAAAGAGTTTCAAAGCTGACGTTTCGAGCAATTGAAGAAGGGGTCTGACGAAGGGCTTACGCTCGAAACGTCAGCTTTGAAACTCTTTACGGTGGCCTATTTACGTTATCAACTCAGTTGATAATACTAAATTACCCTGTTATACTCTCCCACCGATGCATCACCACAGTTTCTTTAGAAACTTACCCCCTCTAATAATATGATCAAGAATGGATGTTTTCGTATCAAGCAGGTCAAACGCCAGTCAACTGGTTCCACTGGATCTTGACTCTAAACCAATTACAGTTCTCTGTCAGATGGGGGATTTTGGATGCGGAGATGGAGGATGGACGCCTCTAATGAAGATTGACGGCAGCAAGGTAAGCCTCATATGGCGGAATATTCTTGACGGGGTTTTCTTGCGGGTGATGAAGCGGGAGCAAGAAATTTTCAGAAGCGTTGAAACTACGATAGAATCTCTTAGCAACTCGCCCATATTCTTATCGCGGTCCCTGCTTGCAGAAATTCCTCTGGCATGAGTGCTACTGTACCCTAATATCTAAAACGCCTGCAAGGACCTGCAAGTAGGGTATAGATTGATGGCTTGTACGCTAACTGTATTACTGATTTCATGAGGTTCCTGCCTTTGGTGATGCATCGTGTTATTTATGTTTAAGGATAAATGAAATCTTCTTAATTCTTTTCAGGCAACGTTCCACTATGACTCGCACTACTGGAGTGATAAAAACCAATACAACATCCTTGGCGGGAGGACTGGGTTTGACTCACAAGAGACCAAGTTACCGACCTATTGGAACACACCTTTCTCCAAGATCTGTCTCGGTATGAAGATAAGTGGACAGCTCAGGTTTATTGTCATTAACAAGCAGGCCAACTCTCTGTACTCTTTGATTGCTGATGGGACATACCGCGCTACTTCACTGGGTAGTGACGAGTGGAAGAAGTTGATTGGTGCGGAGGGCTCTTTGCAACTGAACTGTAACAAGGAGGGCTTCAATGCTGTAGGTACTTCAAGTTATTATTCTAAAGCAAGAATTGGTTATATTGCTAATGAGAAAATAAACTGCCACAATTGTGACTCCAGAATTGGGTTTGGTACCGGAGGATATCCTGATAACTCCACTACGTGTGGAAACGTAGCAGCTCGTTCCCCAGATAACGGTAACAGAAATATCAAAGCTATGGGATATATTTTGGTGCAGTAAACTCTTTCAATCCATGTATTACGTTAGAAAACTCACGAAGAATGGGGGAGGGGAGGTGGGGTACTGAAGAGCTCTTTTCCATCCCTCTCCTTTCTCCCCTCAAACGCCAAAGGGAGAATTTGCTAAGCAGATGATAGATTTCTTGCTGTTTAGTTCGGCCTCTAAATTGCTTTTTTTCCAATATGCGGGGAGTGTGAAGGCGAGAAGAGACTTGAATAAGGACTTTACCCGCATGGGTTCCGTTTGTACAACTTTTGAGCCCTAAGTTTTACGGAATTAAATTGACTGGTTACTAAAACTACTGTGATGTTTAAATCTTAAAAAAGAAGCAAAGCCAGGATAACAACACGAGAAAATTTTCAGGCACTCGATCGCTAAACATTACCACTAATAGGCCTTTGCTGACCATGCCAAAAGCCACCTTTTGGTGTCGACAAAACTGATAAGCATTGTAAAATTAACAAAAAATGGCATTATTCCTTCATGTTGAGGTCACCCCTTGATGCCAACTTCAGTCGTTTTTTCTGATGCTATTTTATTATTATTATTATTATTTTTTTTTTTTTTTTTTTTGAGCTCAGAATTAGTTGTAGCCTTACATAGATTTACAAACATCCTTTATATATACGTACTTATAAACGAGAATATATACTCTCAATTGTAATGGTTTTGTCAAAGAAAAAAGGCAGAAATGAATAAAGGAAAAAGCTAAAGAGGAACCGTTTACAGAAATCTAAATTCTAAGTGTTCATGTAGGATACTGCGCATGTGTGAAAAATAAGTCAGAAGATAGGAGAGAAGAACTACCTCAACCTAACTCTCACTTCAAAAAAAAGTTTCGTAACTGATCAAATTATATTGAGCTTTCTGTTTTGCTTTCTGCATATTTCTTTGACAACCTTTTTGCGTTAAGTTGTACTTGTATTCATGTCTATTCAACTTTATAAGATAACTGAGATACAATAGAACCTGTATTTAGCGGTCACCTTGTATTGAGCGGTCAGTTGTCAAAGTCCCAAAGTCACCGCAATGTTCATCTCTGTTAAGCGGTTACCTCTACTAAGTGGTCGCAGTCAACCTACGTATCAAGTCTCAATAGCCTGTTTTTATCGTTCTACTCCTATATCGAACGGTCACTGAAAACACAACCACTTAAATAAAACTAAGAATAATCCTTCAAGTAATTTTTGATCCACGTTTCTCTCCCAAAATTAAAGTAATATTTTCGAGCGAGGTTCATTCCTAATCTGTGAAACCTATATCAAGTGTCACCCGCCATTTACTATGGGCTTGATACAGGTTCGACTGTACTACGAGCGCCCTGATTGGTCAAAAACCTGTAAACCCATTTGAAAAGTTTGTAAGTCATTCACCTTTGGTTCGTGATTTACAAACTTCTCTTCCTCCTTCAACATCCCACGTGAGTTATTACGCCGGTAGAAAGTGTGGTCTATTGTTTAATTATTATTACTAATAATAACTATTATTAATTATTATTAATCATCAAGATTTGCGAACTAGCCCTTAATGCAAGTACGTAATCACTTGTTAAGACTTTTACTATACCTAACACCAGGGCCTAGTTGTATAAAGGGTGGATAACGCTATCAAACTGATAAATCGTTATCCAACGGATAAGTGATAACAAACCGTATAGCGTTATCCACCGGATAGAGATTTATCCAGTGGATAGCGTTATCCGATCATCGAACAACCGGGGCCTGGTCTGTACAAAAAAATACGTCCGACACAAGAAACTTATTATACTGCAGTTTCTCCACAACGGCTAGAAAAAGTGCATATAATAATTTGATAACAATAGGTATAAAATAAATGAAAAACAATTAAGTCATTATTCACCACTTGGATGGTTTATTTGGATCCAACATAATGACCAGCTCCCAGTTAGCTCATTAGCTTAGTTCGTAGAGCGCTGCACCAGTGTCGCAGAGGTCATGGGTTCAAATCCCGTACGGGCCTGAATTTTTTTCAGGTCTTATTTCAACTACTAGTGCAGTAGTGTTCATAGCTGCGAGGATCGTTTATATTCGTTTCTTCACCGCAGTGAAGAAATATGATTTTCCATATATTTACAGTCATTAGGCAAAAGATTATTTGAATAAAAATAAATTAAAAAGAGGGGCGCCGAGACAACATATTAGAAACGCCACAGTAAGACAATACAACTAGAATTCAGATTCATAATTATGTAAAATTTTGCAATTAGAAGAATTACAATACAGTGGAGTAATCTTAGAATTGAATGTTCACTGTGCCAAATACAAGAGTTCATCAGATACTTTAAATAAGATGATGTCTGCTCGGAATAAAGGTTACAAATAATGAATACCGTATATTCTCGACTGAGCGCCCACGCTCTTAGAAGTGCCCTTCCCCGAATAAGTGCCTGCTCCCTCTTTCATAATGTCAAAAAAGCGTCCCCCTCCCCTTTGAATAAGCGCTCACCTCTTCCCTCACTTTCTCAGTGGTAGGAATACTAGGAAAAATTGTTTCTATTGACATTTTTGAGTGAACAATGACCGCATTGGTTTACACGTCAGAAAACTCGAAGCAGCTGCAATCATTTTTAAAATTCTATTGGTTGAAATCAGCGCCATGGAAATGTTCACAGGAAAATTAGCTCTTGACTGCAGCTCGTCACTGATCGCATTTGAAACAAAGCTAAGATTCTTTCCTTTGCTGACGAGAAGATTCGATTTCTTTTAACATGTTTTTTTATTTTTGTCTATTCCGTTTTATTTCAATTCTCTGCTCTGATGTCAGAAACATTTGCACTTGATACTTGTTTGATGGTAGCATCTGAATATTGCTTTTCCCCGTTATTATTCGTTTATACTTGGGAAGAGGAACAAAAATTTTTTTAATTATTTGGACACACGACCAATGAATAATACCATCAACGCTTAAATATTTCCTCGTTACGAGGAAATTTGTGCTCTGAAGTGTAGCTAAAAACCAAACTTTATTGAGAATTAATCATACATTGGTACGTTTATTTCGAAGTCCTCTATGTAAATTACTGAGTTAACACGTAAATAGGAAACCATTTTCACAACTTATTAAAAATTTATACCAAAAGACTCTCTTTAAAAGTTTTTTTTGTTATTAATCTTTAATGATATGTATAGGTTTCCAACAGTTAATACTTGTTCATAACCCACATATGGCATTTCTGTTATTTTTTGTCATAGCGCAGAATTTCGCGAAAATCTTCTGATTTTCCTTCTTGCCAAGTCATCCTTACCGTCAATTGAGTTTTCATTGGCAAGTTTTTCCTTAAATAGCAACTTCCCTTCTTCCAAAACTGTCCTTGATATACTCGAAATTATTTTTCACTAACACTGCCGTCGCAAACTTGTCAATGGGAAAACTTATCAGGTTACACTTCCTTTATCATTATTATTATTAACCCTTCCCTCGCACTCCTAATGGCCACTAAAAGATCTACTCGCGGTATTATCAATTTTCCAGGAAAATAACCGACGGAAGGAAAAGGAAGATAGGGAATAAACGATTTTGTTTGTTTTAACGTTAAAATGTCACAGCGGAGAAATGTTCGACAGACGGTGCGCAGAGTTGGTATAGAGATCCGGCGGCGTTCGTTTAATACAAAGTTTTCCGCGATTGCAACACTAGTGACATGAAAATGTTTTCAGGCCTTGTGATTTCGGTGATTCTACAACATTATTTCAAAGCACTCAGCCTTAGTTGAGTATTTCTCGTGAGGCCTGCGTTTACAAACTGGATATTGTGAGTTTATCCTAATTTTAAAACAGAATTTTATCTATCAGGCTGCCCTTAGAAACAAACCCAAACGACTGGATGTTATTGGCAAGCTTAGATGTAAATAAATGCTCATTGCGCGATCAGTTCATCAGATACTATTTAGAAAATGTTTCCTTTTTGGAACTAAGGGAAGAGTAAAACGGAAATTGAGTCATGGGATCATTTTATAACTAAAACGAGTTCAAACCCCATTTTTGACTCGTTTTCTCCTCCGCCCTCATAAAACTCAGCCATAGCACTGAGACATGTTTTTGTTGCAAAAACAAAGGAAAGGGCTGGTTTGTACGTCAGCAAATTGGGGACAGCTGGAATCGCTCAAATTATATTGGTTGTAGTGAATATTTCAGTTGATTACAAGTCGCGTAAGGGGCAAGGCAAAATATCTCCGGATCAGCGACGAGATCTCCTCTCCGGCAACATGTTTTCTGGTCTTTTTTTTCCCATCCTATTTGAACTTTCTGTTCTAATTCCAGATCCAACCTTTTCAAAAGGTTTGTTAGATGCGTTTGCATTGTATCTCTTATTGTTTTTAGTGTTAGAACATTAATGTTGGCAATATTTATTCATTTATATTAATTCAACCCAGAATCTGGATATAAGTCCGATGTTCCCTGAGTTCCATCAGTCTTCGTTTTTTTTGGTTATATTTTCTCTTGACTTGTGGTGATGGGAGTTGAATGCTCTTTAGAAACTTGTTTCAACAGTTTTCTTTATACCTGATATCTTAGGAAGCTATTGAACGGCATAATCTCGATGTTTAATTAACTTCCTTTCCTATATACCTGCTGTTGTAAAATTTAATTCGTTCAAGTTTCACAGTTGAAGTCGATCTGTTTCCCTGTAACGTCCAGCCCTTCAACTTGGTTAAATGCAAATAACACTCCATCACTCCACATTAAAAAATGTTTTTCAAGACTAAGCTAAGTCATTGATTGAAAAAGCCTTTATTCAACTTCAAGTTAAATTCTAAATGTTGCCAGACAGCAGCAACATTTCTTTAGACCTGGATAAAATTGCAGAGGTTAACTACAGGCTTTCGACCTTGCCAAGCTTTTACTCAAAATAGGTTATCAAAGACTTCCAAAATTTGGTTCGTAGAAACATTCCTATCTTATGCCTATCAGATCATTGACGGATTTTCTTCCTTTTTCTGAAGGAAAGTTCGAAAACAATATGTTCTAGTTAGATAATTAATCTTGAGGAAGAGAACTAATGATAACATTACAACACCGAAGAGCTAGAAATGTTTACAATTTGAAGGTTTGTGACTTTATTTGCAAAATGCTATTCTAAGATGTTGCCTCAGTGAATAAATACATTTAAGTCTCTCAGAATGCATGTATGTCTATAATAAATGACACGGTAGATGTTGATAACTGAGAAGGTAGGACAATAAAAATTTCTATGAAAAAAATGTTTATGAGCTCCCTGAACAAATATTGAATAAATTAAAATCGAAATGGCTTGTTGAAATGGCTGCTATAGGATCATTTTAAGTGTTCCACAAAACGGTTTTTTTTTTCACCGAGCTGAATTTTTCACATGTTATCCTTCTTTATCTTGCGAAATATCGCCTGATTTTACCCAACTTGACCAAGGGCCTCTGAGGCTGAGCACCAAACAAAGTTTGGGGACAACAGTGGAGGAAAATTGTTACTTAAATTTGGCGAAAGTCAAGGGGCCCAAGATGTTAAGACAGCTAAAAGCTATTGAAAATAATCACTGCTTTGCTTCCAATTGGCAAAATTTATGAATTCTGAAATTAAAACAGGTACCATAGTAACAGTGTCGCAAGATTTTCCAACTTTTCAGGTATTTGGAATGGATAGCTGCCAAATAAACACGAGGGAGCTGACAAAATTTGCCCCCAACTAGAAAAAAATTCATGGAGAAGCTAGAATTCTTTATTAACGACTGTTTACCTTGGTCTCGTATGATCTAATAGCACTTTTAGGCCTCTAATCAAACGTCACATATCCTTCCGTAAATAGAGGGCTAAATATCGTGTAAAACACTTAAAATAACTCGCATGTTTGTTTTCATGACGAACTAAAGTTAAACTTGTATTAAGTGGTAACCCACGGGGAATGCAGGGCTGACCGCTTAAAAAGGTTCTAAAGATTAAGGTTAATTTAGGCAATGCTAAAAAAGCACCATTTTGTGCCATAATTGACAACTTTTTGTACAAAACCTCGCTCAAAAGTACTACTGACATTGATTTCGAAAGGGAAATATAGATCAAATTTTTCTTGAAGGATAATTCTTCGATTTATTCAAGTAGTTCGCTTTAAGTGACCGCTCAATACAGGTGGAAGATAATACAAAGAGGCCGTTCAGGCTCACTCAAAGGTGATTGCGACCGCTTCATAAAGGTGACCGCTTAACTGAGGTGAAAATCACGGGGAAAGAAATTCGGGACTTACGGAGCCGCATCAGGTTTGACTGTAATTTTGAATCAAGTAAGCCAACATTTTCATTTGTGTGGGTTTAAGAATAAGCAAAGAGACTGTCGATGATTGTGTTGTGGAAAAAAGGACAGCGAAACAGTGTCCACCACAACTTGTAAATGGTTAATCAGCTGATAACCATGACAACAATTCTGGCATAGAACTGAGCGCTGTCCCGAAAACAAAGCGAGAGAAAAACGCATGGATCAGCTTAAAATTAGCTATCGATACTTCAAAATATCCCTGAATTTTTTTCATATCTATTGCTTTCCACCATTCTCAGTGACCTATTCGCTGTACTCCACAACATCCTAATACAGCAGGAATACAAATTTCGTTTTAGTCACAAAGAGACAGGGGTCACCCCGGCATTATTGAAAGAGCCGGGAGAGAAGTGGAGGGGGGGGGGTCCCATAATTATGATAAACATCAATTCTTTTGAATGATATGGGGAAGGGGGTGCACGTTACGGTATAATCTTACTGACAGAAAAACGCTTCAATTGCACAAACTCAACTACTATATTAAACGGCGAGTAATGTTCTTAGCGAGGAGTGACTCCTAAAAGTGATACAATACTTACAATACCACCACGGTTTATATCCCAGCTCTCCACTGATGCAATCTCAGTGCTGTCTCCAAAGTCCCCTTGAACGGGCAATCTTCCGCAGTAACTCTCTCTCGGTATAGCTATCAAAAACAGTCGTCGCTCCGACGATAACACTTACCGCTACTACTATTACATAAGCGAGTCTTCATATATATATATTCACAAAGTGTTCTGGAAAATTCTAAAAGCTTACTTAAGAACTATATATTTTAGAAGTATTACCTAATAAATACGTGACTTGATAAAATTTTCCAGAAAGCTCTACGGTATGCAAGTCAGCATGACTCAGCCGTCTGGAAATTTCTGGAAGATTATATTAACAACAATTACTCATAACAGGGGGTAGTGTTCTATAGGTAACTTTATCCTCTATTCTAACTAGCCAGTCCCTTCCTCGACACTCTCTCCTGTGAGTGATGCCATCATGTCCTTTTATTACTGAACTGTTCTTCTTTCCTGTTACAGAATCAAACCCTGTGTATCGCGAGGGCAACCGCGCCTCCTCCACAAGAACCTTCCTGAGACGTACATTCATTAAACACGAGTTTCAATACTTGAATGTCCTGCTTGTTGGAACAGTGGCAGTGTCTGATGTGTTTGACTGCACGTTAGAATGTCTCAGCAATCCGTTCTGTTTTTCTGTAAACCTGGCCGCCTTCAAAGGAGCCCATGGAAAACTTTGGTGCGAATTGTTGTCATCTGATAAGTTCAGAAACTCCACAGAGTATAAAGGGAATAAAAGTTCGCATCATTTTGCCATTGAGGTAGGAAACATTTCTTAATTTTGACAAATAAACGCGTTAAAATTTTGACAGCCTTGTCAAGATCGTAAAGAGAAGGCAGTCAGGTTAAAGCCACTGCAAATGGTGTCAGTCTGTTGTCGTATTCATTGTGGTGACAACCGTATTTCTATGGCATGTTGTAAAGCATGCAAACACTTTCTCGTGCCGCGCACTATCTTACTTACTTACCACCTTCTGTTTCCCAGGCACGTCGGCAGACTAAGAAAATACATGTGACTCAGTTGAAAATTTGAGTCAAGATACCAGATTCTGTTTGTTTAAAGAATGGAATCGTTGTTTAAATCGTCAGTATTTGGTCAGCCTTTAGTCAATTTGTGTGTTAAAATGTTTTATCGATAGACTTCTTCATTTTCTGCAAACGTTCGAAACAGTTAGAAAAGCTTTCCTGACTTATAGATCCCAACGGCTTAGCAATATATTTTAATCTCCACCTCTCAAATACCGGCAAAGGCAGAAAACTAATCCAAAATTTCAATACTGATACTGAAAAAAAACACTGATGCTATCAGATGAGGTATGTCTATACCATAAAAATTTATATTAAAACAAATCCGGACCGGATCGACGAAATAGCGCGCCGCGATAGGCGGATTAATGTACTCCCTATTTACCGAACATTTACAAATTTACAGCTGCCTTTTAAAATGAACCATTTTCCTACTTTGTTTCTCTACAGTCACCTTGCTCTTCGTCACCTTGTCAACACGAAGCTACATGTGTCACAAACTATAGAGATGGCTCCTTCAGATGCCACTGTACAGAAGGCTTCAAAGGAGAATATTGTGAAAAAGGTGAATAGTTTAGTATGGTGTTAAATACTAAAATTCTCAAGTGACTACGATAAATTTTTCTGCTTTACCTTGCAGCTCGAAGACTTTATAAAAATAGCTAGCGAAAATAGATAACTAAAAAACATTTAATGCAATGCATAAAGATGTTGAATCTCGTGGTGCTCAAGTTGATTAATCATCTGACTGCGAAATCAAAAGGTCTGAGGTGGGGAACTAAATATTTATTTATATACATTATATCATTCATCTTTTATCACGAAGGAGTGGGGGGGAAATGGAGAATTTTAGAGGATCACATGATTTTCAGGGGGAAAGGAGGGGGAAACAGTTGTCGCCGAAAGAGTTTAAAGGGGGGGACTGTAGAAATTGGCTGTCAATTTTAAAACTGCTAACGAGTGGGGATCGTAAGAATTTTACAGAGCCTTAACTGAGGGGGGGGGGGGGGGGCGATCTGTTTAATTTTATCGTAACTCAACCAAAATCCTCTGACCCCCCCCTCCCTCCATCGGTAGTAAATTATAACCGGTACCAAAGTGATGTTTATCATCTCTTAATGATCAAAGATTTTGTTCATAGTTTGATACAAGAATGTAAAACGACTCTACTTTTGTGTCCCCTGCTGGACTGTGATAGAGCCTGAATATCTTAAACACCTGACTTTTGTTTTTTTCTCTTTATATTTAGTTATTGGGTCCTGCAAAGAAGCTTACAACCTTCTCAAGTAAGTGATACCAAATTATTACCCTATAGAGCATAAAAAAGATACAAAATTATCGAATAGTTTCGACGTCGAGAGGAAATTTTTTGCCGCAAACAAATATGATCACGAATGGATTTCTTTTCGCGTCAAACAGGTCAAACGCTAGTCAACTGGTTCCATTAGACCTTGACTCTAAACCAATCACAGTTCTCTGTCAGATGGGGAATTTTGGATGTGGAGGTGGAGGATGGACGCCTGTTATGAAGATTAACGGCAGCCAGGTAAGCCTCATTTGGAGGAATATTCTTGGCGGGGTTTTCTTGCGGGTGATGAAGCGCGAGCAAGACATTTTCAGAAGCATCGAAACTACGAGAGAATCTCTTAGCAACTCGTCCATATTCCTCTCGCGGTCCCGCTTACGGAAATTCTTCTGGCATAAGTACGACAATACCCTAATATCTAAAAGCGCGACGAATTGCTAATTAACCCGCCTACAAGTAGGGTATTTACACTAACAGTATTATTGATTTCATGAAGGTCCTGCCTTTGATGATGCATCGTGTTATTTATGTTAAAGGATAAATTAAATCTTCTTAATTCTTTTTAGGCAACGTTTCACTATGACTCTCACTACTGGAGTGATAAAAACCAATACAACACCCCCGGCGGGAGGACTGGGTTTGACTCACAAGAGACCAAGTTACCGACCTATTGGAACACATCTTTCTCCAAGATCTGTCTCGGTATGAAGATAAGTGGACGGCTCAGGTTTATTGTCATTAACAAGCAGGCCAACTCTCTGCACTCACTGATTGCTAATGGGACATACCGCGCTACTTCACTGGGTCGTAACGAGTGGAAGAAGTTGATTGGTGCGCAAGGCTCTTTGCAACTGAACTGTAACAAGGAGGGCTTCAATGCTGGAGGTGACAGAAATGATCATTCTAGAGCAAGAATTGGTTATATTGCTAACCAGGTAAACCATTGCCACACTTGTGACTCCAGAATTGGGTTTGGCACCGGAGGATATCCTGATAACTCCACTACGTGTGGAAACGTAGCAGCAGTTCGCCCAGATAATGGTGACAGATACATAAAAGCTATGGGATACATTTTGGTGCAGTAAACTCTTTCAATCCATGTATGACCTGAGAAAGCTCACTATAAAAGGGGGAGGGGAGGAAGGGTACTGAAAAAATGTTCTTTCCATCTATCCATCCCCTCTCTCAAAATTAAGTTAAGTAGCATTTTCAAGCGAGTTTTTGTACATTAAGTGGCGTTGTTTATCATTATTTACAATATCCCTAATCCGTGCAACCTGTTTTAAGCGGTCAGCGCGTGTTAGCGTGAGTGACTGCTTTATACAGGCTTGACTGTACTACGAGCGCCCTGATTGGTCAAAAACCTATCGTGTATTGTATCAGTAAACCAAAAAATTAACTTACAAATTTGAAAAAAATATGTAAGTCACTCACCTTCGGCTCGTGATTTACAAACTTCTCTTCCTCTCCCAACATCCCACATGAGTTTTTAAGCCAGTAAACCAATAGAAAGTGTAGTCTAGTGCTTAAGTATCAATAATTATTACTACTACTAATAATCATTATTAATCATGCTAAAATAGTATTATCAATTACTATTAATTATTAAGATTTGCGAACCAGTCCCTTAACGCAAGAATACATTCAGTTGTGAAGACTTTTAATATACCCAACACCAGGTCTGTACAAAAATACTTTCGACACAAGGGTCTCAATTTACTGCATTTTCTCCACAACAGCTAAAAAAAGTGCATGTGATAATTAGATATCAAGAGGTAAAAATTAATTGAAAAACAAATAAGCAATAAGCAAAAGAATATTTAAATGAGAATTGATTAAAAAAAGGTTTTTCATTTTTTTCTTTTCTGTTTTAGTTCAATTCTCTGTTCAGATGTCAAACATCGCGTTTTCTCAAGGTTTGTTATGTGTTTATTATTAAGAAGGCTCATAGGGTTTTTGCTGAAAGTTGGCGCACGTGCCAGCGTATCTTCCTTTTTCTAGAAAATTTTGATGTTCTCGCTTTTCTAGGTTACTAGCATCAAAAGGGCGATGAGCAAGGTTCAGACAATCGTTTGCTGTAGTAAATATTATCAAAATGATTTTCGTTGTTAAGCTGAGACTCCACGAAAGGAAGCGCTTGCCAGTGATAATTGGCTTTGTCTTTGATAACCTCCAATTTGCTTTGGTGCAATCTGTCAAATTTTCAGTGTGCAAAATTTGTCCTGCCGACTATTATATTTATAAGCCGAAAAAAACAGGGATTATAAAGCCAGTTGCCTCGCTATTTTATCAACAAACACTTGCAATGGAAGGGCACAAATATGTTAACGGTCCAGAAAATTTTAGGAAATTCCACCGAAGGAGACGCGATAAATCTTGCTCGGAAGATCTAGATCTGAGCATGCGTAAACTTTCGAATCTGTCGCCTTTTGGCAATCTTCCCCGCAGTGTTTTCTTTTTGATTGACTTCTTTTCCAGGCGTAGAGGACCTATGAATATTAAGGGTGCAGTTTCTGGAAACCTTAGTTTCCATCACATAAAAGCTGTATTGTGTTAAACTGTTTTTAACACACATTTTTCAGAAAACAATCGTGCGATCCTATCGAGCCGCCATGTTTGTTTTATATGTTGACACATTTAAAGCTCGCGCTATGTTCGCACCCAGATCTCGTGCGCTCAAAATACTCTATGAAGCCTCCTTAAAATCTGAATATTGCTTTTCCCGTCATCATTCGTTTACTCTAAGGAAGAGTATCATATATTTTTTTTAATTATCTGGACACACGTCCAATGAACAATGCCATCAACATTTACACATTTCGTCGTTACGCGGAAATTTGCGCGTTGAAATGCAGCTCAAAATCAAACTTTTTGGAAAATTTGGTTTGTAATTAATACTCTACAACAGTGACATGACGTTTCGGAGAATTCTTTTTCCGGCTGTGTTTGACAGCTGATCCTGACCCCTTACTGACCCCTTAACACATTACATACTCGTCCATGTGACGTCTCTAGTTTACAAAGGTCTTAAAACGCTTCAATGCATAGAGTTGCCTTCTGCGGCTAGAAGGCTAGAAGCACATTTCAGTGAACCAGAAAGGATTTCAGTTCTGGTCAGTACTGACTTTTCATAATCTACTTCCAAATCTAAGGGAACTCCCTGAGGGAATCAAAAAACATACATATATGATAATGCATGAAAGAAATTAAAATACAGATAAAGAAAAAGGAGAAAACATAGGAACCTGTGTTGCTTGCCCTTTTGCAGCGTGCAGAAATCTCTTACGCCAGACCTACACATCTAAGCCCACGCACCACGCACCACGCACCACGCATCACGCACCACGCACCACGCACCACGCACCACGCACCACGCACCACGCACCACGCACCATGCATCCAAACTCGAAAGAGCGCTGCGTAACACCCGATTCGCACGTGCATGCAGAAAAGGCTATGAAATTCAGCGAAAATAATAGCAGATGCAGATGCTATTGGCAATTTAAAAAAAAAGCAGGCAAATAAAATAATAGAAGGTTTAAGAATTTTCTAAAAGTGTAACCTTGAAAAAGAAAGGTAAACAGTTTTTTGTACTTCTCAAGAGAGGTCACGCAGTCACGCTACAAATACGGCTTCTGCGTGGAATTTCTTGATGGTGGAAACTGGGAACAACATTTTCCAGTCTTGTTTTCTGGAAACATAGTGCAGTTTACAAATTTCATGGGGCTATTGATATTTCCTTTCAAACGAGGGGCAGAGTTTCCCGTCATCCATTGTCTAGTAAAGCCGAAGTTGTTACACACTGGAACTTAAAAGTCAAAAAGCACGCGACATCTCCTTTCCTCACACAGTTTCCTTATTGTAAACTGCTATGCTAATAATGCTAATAACCAATGAAATCATAGACTAATGAGTGTTTTGTTCCATGCAAAAGCCATATTTGCTGATTTCAGCAACTCTCCAAAGTGATAAACGACAGAAGAAAGAAACGCTACGATTTTTCCATCAACATTTCGCCCACATACATCTCTCTAAACGTGAAATTTTCCATTCCTAACAAAACTCTCGAAAGTTGTTCACATTTTTTGGCTTCGTCGATCAATCACCTTGTATAAAGAGCTATAGAATGTAGGTTTATTTGCTCAAGTGACCGCTTAGAGCCGGAATTGCGTGACAGGTGTAGTTGAGAGAAGCTTGTCACAGTCGCAGATGTTAAAAGGCATCCAAGACAAAAATAGGGCAGTACCCAAATATTTTTTTGGTGGTTTTCAGAGATGAAATGATGGATTATAAAGGAGAACTAAAACTAGTGTTGTAGCTGTCTGGCAAGGGGAGATAATTGACCTCAAAGTTATCAAATATTTGAATGAATCGAAAACACAATCATTTGTTTGCCTCTGTTGATTGACAAGCCGTCTACCAAATCTACTCATACTCAAGTCGTGCATTCATTAAGGATGTAACAATACGTATGCAAACCTTCAGAGTAATCAGGCAAATATCATCGCATTGAGAGCTTCATGCATTTCACCTATTTCAAGGCGATTTCCATTATGAAAACCAAGAAAAACCTAGGGGGGGGGGAGGAATTTCCCCCTGGAAATAACCAAAACAGAACCAGTTTGCCTGTTTGAGAATTGGAGTAGACCCTTTAAATTTTGACAACTAAAAATTAGGAGACCTTTATATTCTCTTGATCTTGAGCTGAAGGAAATTAACTCGCACGATGATAGACTGCCCTCGCAAGTCTTACAGAAACGCCACAGATAATTTTCAATGCAAATTCTAGATGTCGATCTCTTTATTTACAAGGCACGAATAAATGTAAAACCGATTCTGTTGGTTTCGAAAGAAGCTTTCTAGGTAATTTTGGGATTATTTCAGCCCGGATGGCAAATGATAAATAGTTTTGTAAGTCAAAAAGCTTGTATTACGACCGAGTTTGTTTATTGTGAAAATTATTTTGAGTCAAATCTGCTCATCAAGTTCTTCAAGACATTTTAATTAAAAGACATCACTTGTGCTCACGAAACACAAACGCCCCCCGTGTTCATTAGATATCCTAATTTTGGGGTTATGGAAATGGAAAGGATGATTAAAAAGTTTAAAGTGGTAACCACATTGTATATTCACGGACACCTACGGTACTTTTATTTCGAAGTTCTCTTTGTAAATTATTGAGTTAACTCGTAAATAGGAACCCACTATCACAACGTATTAAAAATTAATACCAAAAGACTCTCTTTGAAAGGTCTTTTTGGTAGAAATCTTTAATGATATGTATAGGTTTTCAACACCTACTATACTTGTTCATAACGTACTTATGGCATTTCTGTTTCTTTTGTCGTAGCGCAGAATTTCACGTAAACCATCTGATTTTCCTTCTTGCCAAGTCATCTGTATTGTCAATTGATTCTTCGTTGTCAAGTTTTCCTTTAAATAGCAACTTCCCTTACCACAGAAAGAAAGGAAGCTAGGAAAAAAACGATTTTGTTTGTTTTTACGCTGAAATGTCCGGCTGAATTACGGAGAAATGTTTGACGGACGGTACGCAGAGTTGATTTCCAGATCTTAGAGGTAAACGAATTAGAACGGCTTAAGTTTAATACAACGTTTTCCACGATTGCAATACTGAGTAACATGGAAATTTTTTCAGGCCCTCTGATTTCGCTCATTCTACAACATCGTTTCAAAGCACTCAGCTTTTGCGTAGCATTTCACATGAGGCCCGCTTTTACAACCTGAATATTGTGAATTTATTCTAATTGTAAAACAGAGACTTGTTTATCTAGACGATTCAGGTTGCCCTTAGTAGCAAACTTAAACCACCGGGTGTTACTGCAAGCTTATATAGATGTAAGCGAATGCTCATTACGCAATCAGCTCATCAGAAACAATTTAGAAAATGACGCCTCTTTGGAGTTACGGGAAAGGTAAAGCGGAAATTGGTTCATATCATTTTATAACTAAAACAACTTCAAACCTGATTTTCGACTAACATTCCCTTCCGCTCTCATAAAACTCAATCATAGCACTCAGACATCCGTTGTTGAAAAAAAAACAAAAGAAAGTGCTGGTTTGTGCGTCAGCAAATTAGGAGCAGCTGGAATCGCTCAAATTCTATTGGTTGTAGTCAACATTTCAGTCGCTCACAAGTCAGTTGCATCAGAGGCGAGGCTAAATATCTCACATCGGCGACGAGATCTCCTCTCAATATGTTTTTTGGTCTTCTTTATCCCCTTCTATTTGAAGTCTCTGCTCTAATTCCAGATCCAGCCTTTTCACAAGGTTTGTTAGACGCGTTTACTAATACGTATCTCTTTTTGTTTTCAGTGTTAGAACGTTGATGTTGGTAATATTCAGTTATTCTTAGTAATTTAACTCAAAATTTGGATATAGTCAGATGTTCTCTGAATTCTATCAGTCTTTGTTTTTTGTTATATTTTCACTTGGCTAGTGATGGGCGTTGAATGCTCTAAGGAAACTTGTTTCAACAATTTGCATTATAACTTATAATTTGGGACGCTGTTTAATGGCACAAAGTTTAGTTAACTTCCTTTCATAAATATCTGCTGTTATAAAGTTGCATAGCTCAAGTCAATCTGTTGCTCTCCAACGTTCAGCTTTTCAACTTGATCAAATGCAATTAACACTCCATCACTCTATATCGAAAAATGTTTTTCAAGAGTAAGCTTAGTCATTGATTGAAAAAGCCTTTATTCAGCTTCAATTTAAATTCTCAAGGTAGCCAAAAAAACAGCTACACTCCTTTAAGCCTGGATAAAATTACCTAGGTTTACTACAGGCTTTCGACCTTACCATGCTTTTGCTCAAAATAATTTATCAAATACTTCCAAAATTGGGTTCGCAGAAACATTCGATTCCTATGTCTGTCAGATCATTGATTGATGTTCTTCATTTTTCCGAAGGAAAGTTTGAAAGTAATATGTTATAGTAAGATATATTTAATACTGAGGAAGAGACACAAATGATAACATCACAGCACCGAAGAGCTAGAAATGTTTACAATTTAAAGGTTTGTGACTTTAATTGCAAAATGTTATTCTAAAATGTTACCTCAGTGAATAAATATATTAAAGTCACTCAAAATGCGTGTATATTTATGGTAAATGACACGGCAGATGTTGACAACTGAAAAGGTAAGACAATACAACTTTATGTTTGAGAGGTTCCTGAACAACTATTGAATAAATTAAGATCGAAATGGCTTGTTGAAATGGCTGCGAAAAATCTATCTGTGATATGATCGTTTTAAGTGTTCCACGAAGCGAATTTCTCTTTTTTTACCAAACTTAATTTTTCACATGTTATCCTTCTTTATCTTGCAAATTATCGCCTGAATTTACCCAAGTTGATCTAGGGCCTCCTGGGCTGAGCACCAAACAGAATTTGGCGACAACAGAGTAGGAAAATTGTTCATCAAATTTGGCGGAGGTCAAGGGACCCAAGATGTTAAGACAGCTTCAAGTTGTTGACAAAATAATATCTGTTTTGCTTCCAATGCCAAAATTTATGAATTCTAAAATCAAGAAAGGTACCATAGTAACAGTGTCGCAAGATTTCTCCAACCTTTCAGGTACTTGGAATGGATAGCTGCTAAATAAAAACGAGGGAGACAAAATTCACCTCCAATTAGAACAAAAAATTTATGGGGAAGTTAAAATTATTTATTAAAGGCTGTTTACCTTGGTCTTGTATGATCTAAAGGCACGTTTCGGCCTCTAATCAAACGTCACCTATTGTAAATGCTCAGAATGTTTTTAAATATCTTCATATTTTACTAGAGGGCTAAATATCGTTTAAAACACTTAAAATATCTCATAGGTTTAATCAGCTGATAACCATGAGAACAATTCTGGCATAGAACTGAGCATCGTCCCGAAAACAAAGCGAGAGAAAAATGCACGGATCAGCTTAAATTAGCTCTCGATACTTCAAAATATCTCTCGATTTTATAAATATCCTATGCTTTCCACCATTCTCAGTTACCTCTTCTATGCACTCGACAACATCCTAATACGGCAAGAGTACAAATTTTGTCTTTGTCGTAGAGAGGCAGGGGTCACCCCGAAATTATTGAAAAGAGCTGCGAGGGAAGGGGAGGAGATGAATGAGAAGGACGAAGGCTGATACTGATCGGCCTTGAAACCATTCTTGAAAAGTTTTTTTTTTTTTAGGGTATGCCTCAAACGTTGCAATTTAATGAAGCTGATTCACTACTGACTATAGTAAAATGGTTTTTGTTCTCCCTACACAGTGGATTTCGCTAAATGAACGTTCATAAGATCTAAAGTCTCATAGTTATGATATAACTCAATTATTTTGAGTGGTACGGGGGGGGGGGAGAAGTGTTCTATAGGCCACTTTATCTTCTCTTGTAACCAGCAAGTCTCTTCCTCCCCACTCCCTCTTGTGAGTGGTGCCATCATGTCCATGTCCTTTTATCATTGGACTGTTCTTCTTTCCTGTTACAGAATCAAACCCTGTGTATCGCGAGGGCAATCTCGCCTCCTCCACAAGAACCTTCCTGAGACGTACATTCATTAAACACGAGTTTCAATACTTGAATGTGCCGCTTGTTGGAACAGTGGCAGTGTCTGATGAGTTTGACTGCACGTTAGAATGTCTTAGCAATCCGTTCTGTTTTTCTGTAAACCTGGCCGCCTTCAAAGAAGCCCATGGAAAACTTTGGTGCAAATTGTTATCATCTGATAAGTTCAGAAACTCCACAGAGTATAAAGGGAATAAAAGTTCGCATCATTTTGCCATTGAGGTAGGGAACACAAATAAACGTGTTAAGAGTTTGACAGCTTTGTCAAGATCGTAGAGAGAAGGCAGTCAGGTTAAAGCCACTGCAAATGGTGTCGGTCTGTTGTCGTATTCATTGTGGCGACAGCCGTATTTTCATGGCATGTTGTAAAGCATGCAAACACTTTCTCGTGCCGCGCACTATCTTACTTACCACCTTCTGTTTCCCAGGCACGTCGGCAGACTAAGAAAATGCATGTGACTCGGTTGAAAATTTTAGTCAAGATACTAGATTCTGTTTATTTAAAGAATGGATCGTTGTTTAAATCGTCAGTATTTAGTCCGCCTTTAGTCAATTTTTGTTTTAAAATGTTTTATCGACAGACTTCTGCAGTTACTGCGAAAGTTCGAAATAGTTAGAAAACCTTCCCAGACTCATAGATCCCGACGGCTTAGATATAAATTATATTTTTAATCTCATCAAGCCAATTTCTCAAAAACCAACAAAGGAAGTAAACTCAGCCAAAATCTTACTACTGTAGATGAAAATAAAAATAAATAAATAAAAAAAAATAATTAAAAAAAGCTTAGATGTTATCATGTGAGGTCTATACGATGAAAAATTTATACTAAAACAAATCCGGACCGGATTGACGAAATAACGCGGATTGGCAGATTCATGTATTCCCTATTCAAAGTACATGAACCATTTTCCCACTTTGTTTCTCGACAGTCACCTTGTTCTTCGTCACCTTGTCAACACGAGGCTACCTGTGTCACGTACTACAGAGATGGTTCATTCGGATGCCGCTGTGAAAAAGGCTTCATAGGAGAATATTGTGAAAAAGGTGAACAATTTGGCATGGTTTTGTGACTGATATACATCCAACAACATTAAATACTATAATTCTCAAGTGACTGATATAAATATTTTTACTTAACTTTGCGGCTCGAAAATGTTCTAAAATAGCTAGCGAAAATATATAACTAAAAAATATTTAATGCAATGCATAAAGATGTTGAATCTCTCGATGCTCAAGTTGATTAAGCATCTGACTACGAAATCAAAAGGTCTGAGGTAGGGAACTGGATCTTTAATTTTATTTTTACTTCTTCGCAAGGACCAATTATCATTAAGCACGGGGGAAGGGGGTGGAGGACTTTAGAGGATCACATGATTTTCAGGGGGAAAGGAAGGGGAATCAGTCGTCGCCGACAGAGGTTAAAAGGGGGGGGGGAGAGGAAAATGTAGAAATTGACTACCAATTTTAAAACTGCTAATGAGTGGGGATCGTAATAATATTACAGAGCCTTAACTGAATGGGGGGGGGGGGAAGTGTCAGGTTAATTTTAACGTGACACAACCAAAATCCTCTGACCTCTCCCCCCTCTCCCTCGGCAGTAAATTATAACTGGTGCCTAAGTAATGTTTATCATCTCTTATTGCTCAAAAATTTTGCAAATAGATTGATACAAGAATGTACAACGACTCTACTTTTGTGTCCCCTACTGGACTATGATAGAGCCTAAATATCTTAAACACTTGACTTTTGCTTTTTTTCTTTTTATTTAGTGATTGGGTCCTGCAAAGAAGCTTACAACCTTTTCAAGTAAGTGATACCAAATGATTATCTTTTCGAGCATAAAAAAGAGACAAAATTTTCGAATAGTTTCGATGTCGAGGGAAGATTTGTGACCACACACAAATATGATCATGAATGGATTTCTTTTCGTATTAAACAGGTCAAACACCAGTCAACTGGTTACATTAGACCTTGACTCTAAACCAATCACAGTTCTCTGTCAGATGGGGGATTTCGGATGCGGAGATGGAGGATGGACGCCTCTAATGAAGATTAACGGCAGCAAGGTAAGCCCCATAAGGCGGAATTTTCTTGGCGGGGTTTTCTTGCGGGTGATGAAGCGCGAGCAAGACATTTCCAGAAGCGTCGAAACTACGATAAAATCTCTAAGCAACTCATCCATATTCGTATCGCGGTCCCTGCTTGCGGAAATTCCTCTGGCATGAGTGCTACAATACCCTAATATCTAAAACGCCTGCAAGGACCTGCAAGTAGGGTATAGATTGATGACTTTACGCGAACTGTGTTTCTGATTTCAGGAGGGTCCTGCCTCGGTGATGCATCGTGTTATTTATGTTTAAGGATAAATTAAATCCTCTTAATTCTTTTTAGGCAACGTTTCACTATGACTCTCACTACTGGAGTGATAAAAACCAATACAACACTCTTGGCGGGAGGACTGGGTTTGACTCACAAGAGACCAAGTTACCGACCTATTGGAAAACACCTTTCTCCAAGATCTGTCTCGGTATGAAGATAAGTGGACAGCTCAAGTTTATTGTCATTAACAAGCAGGCCAACTCTCTGTACTCTTTGATTGCTGATGGGACATACCGCGCTACTTCACTGGGTCGTGACGAGTGGAAGAAGTTGATTGGTGCGGATGGCTCTTTGCAACTGGGCTGTAACAAGGAGGGCTTCAATGCTGTAGGTACTGCAAGTGTTCATTCTAAAGCAAGAGTTGGTTATATAGCTAACAATCAAAACGATTGTGGCTCTTGTGACTCCAGAATTGGGTTTGGTACTGGAGGATATCCTTATAACTCCACTACATGTGGAAACGTAGCACTTCATTCCCCAGATAACGGTAACAGAAATATCAAAGCTATGGGATATATTTTGGTGCAGTAAACTCTTTCAATCCATGTATTACGTTAGAAAACTCACGAAAACTGGGGGAGGGGAGGTGGGGTACTGAAAAGAGTCCTTTTCCATCTATCCATCCCTCTCCTTTCTCCCCTCAAACGCCAAAGTGAGAACTTGCTAAGGAGACGATAGATTGTTTGCTGTTTAGTTCGGCTTCTAAATTGATTTTTTCCAATATGCGGCGGGTGCGAAGACGAGAAGAGACTTGAATTAGGACTTTACCTGCATATGTTCCAATTGTACAACTTTTTGAGCCCTCATTTTTACGGAAATTCAGTCGACTGGTTACTAAAACTACTATGATGTTTAAATCTTAAAAAAGAAGCAAAGCCAGGATAACAACAAGAGAACATTTTCAGGCACTCGCTAAACATTACCACTAATAGGCCTTTGCTTACCATACCAAAAGCCACCTTTTGGCGTCGGCAAAACTGATAAGCATTGTAACATTAACAAAAATGTGGTCGCAGTCAACCTACGTATCTAGTCTCAATAGCCTGTTTTTATCGTTCTACTCCTATATCGAACGGTCACTGAAAACACGACCACTTAAATAAAACTAAGAATAATCCTTTAAGTAATTTTTGATCCACGTTTCTCTCCCAAAATTAAAGTAATATTTTCGAGCGAGGTTCTGTACATCAAGTGGTCAATTACAGCATAAAGAGGGGTTGTTTATCGTTTTTGTAACATTCCTAATCTGTGAAACCTATGTCAAGTGTCACCCGCCATTTACCATGGGCTTGATACAGGTTCGACTGTACTACGAGCGCCCTGATTGGTCAAAAACCTGTAAACCCATTTGAAAAGTTTGTAAGTCATTCACCTTTGGTTCGTGATTTACAAACTTCTCTTCCTCCTTCAACATCCCACGTGAGTTATTACGCCGGTAGAAAGTGTGGTCTATTGTTTAATTATTATTACTAATAACAACTATTATTAATTATTATTAATCATTAAGATTTGCGAACTAGCCCTTAATGCAAGTACGTAATCACTTGTAAAGACTTTTACTATACCTAACACTAGGGCCCAGTTGTATAAAGGGTGGATAACGCTATCAAACTGATAAATCGCTATCCAGCGGATAAGTAATAGCAAACCGTATAGCGTTATCCACCGGATAGAGATTTATCCAGTGGATAGCGTTATCCGATCATCGAACAACCGGGGCCTGGTCTGTACAAAAAGATACGTCCGACACAAGAACCTTATTATACTGCAGTTTCTCCACAACAGCTAGAAAAAGTGCATATGATAATTTGATAGCAATAGGTATAAAATGAATGAAAAACAAGTAAGTCATTATTCACCACTTGGATGGTTTATTTGGATCCAACATAATGACCAGCTCCCAGTTAGCTCATTAGCTTAGTTCGTAGAGCACTGCACCAGTGTCGCAGAGGTCATGGGTTCAAATCCCGTACGGGCCTGAATTTTTTTCAGGTCTTATTTCAACTACTAGTGCAGTAGTGTTCATAGCTGCGAGGATCGTTTATATTCGTTTCTTCACCGCAGTGAACAAATATGATTTTTCATACATTTACAGTCATTAGGCAAAAGATTATTTGAATAAAAATAAATTAAAAAGAGGGGCGCCGAGACACCATATTAGAAACGCCACAGTAAGACAATACAACTAGAATCAAGATTTCTAATTCAAATTCATAATTATGTAAACATTTTTGCAATTAGAAGAATTACAATATAGTGGAGTAATCTTAGAATTGAATGTTCACTGCGGCAAATATAAGCGTTCATCAGATACTTTAAATAAGATGATGTCTGCTCGGAATAAAGGTTACAAATAATGAATACCGTATATCCTCGACTGAGCGCCCACGCTCTAATAAGTGCCCTTCCCCGAATAAGTGCCTGCTCCCTCTGTCATAATGTCAAAAAAGCGCCCCCCTCCCCTTTGAATAAGCGCCCACCTCTTCCCTCACTTTCTCAGTGGTAGGAATACAAGATAAAATTGTTTCTATTGACATGTTTGAGTGAACAATGACCGCATTGGTTTGCACGTCAGAAAACTCGAAGCAGCTGCAATCATTTTTAAAATTCTATTGGTTGAAATCAGCGCCATGGAAATGTTCACAGGAAAATTAGATCTTGACTGCAGCTCGTCACCGATCGCATTTGAAACAAAGCTAAGATTCTATCCTTTGCTGACGAGAAGATTCGATTTCTTTTAACATGTTTTTTTTTATTTTTGTCTATTCCGTTTTATTTCAGTTCTCTCCTCTGATGTCAGAAACAGCGTTTTCTCAAGGTTTTTAATTTGCACTTGATACTTTTTTGATATTCGCATCTGAATATTGCTTTTCCCCGTTATTATTCGTTTATAGTTGGGAAGAGGAACAAAAATTTTTTTAATTATCTGGACACACGACCAATGAATAATGCCATCAACGTTTAAACATTTCCTCGTTACGAGGAAATTTGTGCTCTGAAGTGTAGCTTAAAACCAAACTTTATTGAGAATTAATCATACGTTTTGGTACGTTTATTTCGAAGTCCTCTATGTAAATTATTGAGTTAACACGAAAATAGGAACCCATTTTCACAACTTATTAAAAATTTATACCAAAAGGCTCTCTTTAAAAGTTTTTTTTTGTGATAAGTCTTTAATGATATGTATAGGTTTCCAAAACCTAATAATTATTCATAACCCACATGTGGCATTTCTGTTTTTTTTTTTTTTTTTTGTCATAGCGCAGAATTTCACGACAACCCTCTGATTTTCCTTCTTGCCAAGTCATCTGTACTGTCATTTGCGTTTTCGTCGGCAAGTTTTTCCTTAAATAGCAACTTTGGCCTTGATATACTCGAAATTATTTTTCATTAGCACTGCCGTCGCAAACTTGTCAATGGGAAAACTTATCAGGTTACACTTCCTTTATCATTGTTATTAACCCTTCCCTCGCACTCCTAATGGCCACTAAAAGATCTAACTCGCAGTATTATAAATTTTCCAGGAAAATAAGCGACGAAAAGGAAGATAGGGAATAAACTATTTTGTTTGTTTTAACGCTAAAATGTCACAGCGGAGAAATGTTCGACAGACGGTGCGCAGAGTTGGTTTATAGATCCCAGAAGTAAGCGAGTTGATACGGCGGCGTTAGTTTAATACAACGTTTTCCGCGATTGCAATACTAGTGACATGGAAACATTTTCAGGCCTTGTGATTTCGGTGATTCTACAACATCATTTCAAAGCACTCAGCTTTAGCTGAGCATTTCACGTGAGGCCTTCGTTTACAAACTGGATATTGTAAATTTATCCTAATTTTAAAACAGAGAATTTTATCTGGACGATTCAGGTTGCCCTCAGAAACAAACCCAAACGACTGAATGTTAATGGAAAGCTTAGGTGTAAGTAAATGCTCATTGCGCGATCAGTTCATCCGATACTATTTAAAAACGTTCCCTTTTTGGAATTAAGGGAAGAGTAAAACGGAAATTGGGTCATGGGATCATTTTATAACTAAAACGAGTTCAAACCCCATTTTTAACTCGTCTTCCCCTCCACCCTTATAAAACTCAACCATAGCACTGAGACATATTTTTGTTCCAAAAAACAAAGGAAAGGGCTGGTTTGTACGTCAGCAAATTGGTAGCAGCTGGAATGGCTCAAATTATATTGGTTGTAGTCAATATTTCGGTTGCTTACAAGTCGCATAAGAGGCAAGGCAAAATATCTCCGGATCAGCCACGAGATCTCTTCTCAACATGTTTTTTGGTCTTTTTTGTCCCCTTTTATTTGAAGTCTCTGCTCTAATTCCAGATCAAGCCTTTTCAAAAGGTTTGTTAGACGCGTTTGAATTGTATCTCTTATTATTTTTAGTGTTAGAACATTGATGTTAGCAATATTCATTCATTTATATTAATTCAACCCAGAATCTGGATATAAGTCCGATGTTCCCTGACTTCCATCAGTCTTCGTTTTTTTTGGTTATATTTCCTCTTGGCTTGTGGTGATGGGAGTTGAATTCTCTTTAGAAACTTGTTTCGACAATTTTCTTTAAACCTGATATCTTAGGACGCTATTGAATGGCATAATCTCAATGTTTAATTAACTTCCTTTCATATATACCTGCTGTTGTAAAATTTAATTTGTGAAAGTTGCATAGTTGAAGTCGATCTGTTGCCCTATAACGTTCAACACTTCAACTTTGTCAAATGCAAATAACACTCCGTCACTCCACATTAAAAAATACTTTTCAAGACTAAGCTAGGCCATTGATTGAAAAAGCCTTTATTCAACTTCAAGTTAAATTCTAAATGTAGCCAAAAAACGGCAACATTTCTTTAGACGTGGATAAAATTGCGGAGGTTAACTACAAGCTTTCGACCTTGCCAAGCTTTTACTCACAATAGTTTATAAAAGACTTCCAAAATTGGGTTCGCAGAAACATTCGATTCCTGTGTCTATCAGATCATTGACTGATGTTCTTCCTTTTTCCGAAGGGAAGTTTGAAATTAATATGATCTAGTTAGGTAATTAATCCTGAGGAAGAGAACTAATGATAACATTACAGCACCGAAGAGCTAGAAATGTTTACAATTTGAAGGTTTGTGACTTAATATGCAAACTTTTTTTTCATGATGTTACCTCAGTGAATAAATGTATTTAATTCTCTCAGAATGCGCGTATAACTATAATGAATGACATAGCAGATGTTGATAACTGAGAAGGTAAGGTAATAAAAATTTATGTTTATAAGTTTCCTGAACAAATATTGAATAAATTAAAATCGAAATGGTTTGTTGAAATGGCTGCGAAAAATCTATCTGCTAAATGATCGTTTTAAGTGTTCAACAAAACGGTTTTTTTTTCACCGAACTGAATTTTCCATATGTTATTCTTCTTTATCTTGCGAAATATCGCCCGATTTTACCCAACTCGACCGAGGGCTGGAAGGAAAATTTTTAATTAAATTTGGCGAAAGTCAAGGGACCCAAGATGTTTAGACAGCTAAAAGCTATTGAAAATAATAACTGTTTTGCTTCCAATTGGCAAAATTTATGAATTCTGAAATTAAAACAGGTACCCTAGTAACAGTGTCGCAAGGTTTTCCAACCTTTCAGGTATTTGGAATTGATGGTTGCCAAATAAACACGAGGGAGCTGACAAAATTTGCCTCCAACTAGAAAAAAATTCATGGGGAAGTTAGAATTCTTTGTTAACGACTGTTTACCTTGGTCTCGTATGATCTCATAGCACTTTTAGGCTTCTAATCAAACGTCACATATCTTTCCGTAAATAGAGGGCTAAATATCGTTTAAAACACTTAAAATATCTCGCATGTTTGTTTTCATGACGAAATACAGTTAAACTTGTATTAAGTGGTCACCCACGGGGAATGCCAGGCTGACCGCTTAAAACAGACTATAAAGATAAAGGTTAATTTAAGCAACGATCAAAAGGGGCCATTTTATGCCATAATTGACAACTTTTTGTACAAAACCTCGCTCAAAAGTTCTACTGACGTTGATTTCGAAAGGAAAATATGGATCAAATATTTCCTGAAGGATAATTCTTCGTTTTATTCAAGTAGTTCCGCTTTAAGTGACCGCTCAATACAGGTGGAAGATAATACAAAGAGGCCGTTCAGACTCACTAAAAGGTGATTGCGACCGCTTCGTAAAGGTGACCGCTTAACTGAGGTGAAAATCACGGGGAAACAAATTTGTTGACTGCTCAATACGGAGCCGCATAATGCAGGTTTGACTGTAATTTTGAATCGAGCAAGCCAACATTTTTATTTGTGTGGGTTTAAGAATAAGCAAAGAGACTGTCAATGATTGTGTTGTGGAAAAAAGGACACTGAAACAACGTCCAACACAACTTGTAAATGGTTAATCAACTGATAACCATGACAACAATTCTGGCATAGAACTGAGCACTGTTCCGAAAACGAAGCGAGAGTAAAACGCATGGATCAGCTTAAAATTAGCTCTCAATACTTCAAAATATCCCTGGATTTTTTTTATATCTATTGCTTTCCACCTTTCTCAGTGACCTATTCGCTGTACTCCACAACATCCTAAAACAGCAGGAATACAAATTTCGTTTGAGAAGTGGGGGGTCCCATAGTTACGATAGACATCAATTATTTTGAATGATATGGGGAAGGGGGGGTGCATGTTACGGTATAATCTTACTGACAGAAAAACGCTTCAATTCCACAAACTCAACCACAATATTAAACGGCGAGTAATCTTCTTAGCGAGGAGCGACTCCTAACAGTGATACAATACTTATCGTTAATAATCCACCACAGTTTATATCCCAGCTCACCACTGACACAATCTCAGTGCTGTCTCCAAAGTCTCCTAGAACGGGCAATTTTCCGCAGTAACTCTCTCTCGGTATAGCTTTCAAAAACAGTCTTCGCTCCGACGATAACAATTACCGCTATTACTACTACATAAGTGTTCTGGAATACTCCAAAAGCTTACTTACTTAGAAGTATTACCTAATAAATACGTGACTTGATAAAATTTTCCAGAAAGCTCTACGGTATGCAAGTCAGCATGACTCAGCCGTCTGGAAATTTCTGGAAGATTATATTAACAACAATTACTCATAACAGAGGGTAGTGTTCTAAAAGCCACTTTATCCTCTTTTGTAACCAGCCAGTCCCTTCCTCGCCACTCCCTCCTGTGAGTGGTGCCATCATGTCCTTTTATTACTGAACTGTTCTTCTTTCCTGTTACAGAATCAAACCCCGTGTATCGCGAGGGCAACCGCGCCTCCTCCGCAAGAACCTTCCTGAGACGTACATTCATTAAACACGAGTTTCATCGCTTGAATGTGCCGCTTGTTGGAACACTGGCAGTGTCTGATGTGTTTGACTGCACGTTAGAATGTCTCAGCAATCCGTTCTTTTTTTCTGTAAAACCTGGTCGCCTTCAAAGGAGCCCATGGAAAGCTTTGGTGCGAATTGTTGTCATCTGATAAGTTCAGAAACTCCACAGAGTATAAAGGGAATAAAAGTTCGCATCATTTTGCCATTGAGGTAGGAAACATTTCTTAATTTTGACAAATAAACGCGTTAAAATTTTGACAGCTTTGCCAAGATCTTAAAGAGAAGGCAGTCAGGTTAAAGCCACTGCAAATGATGTCGGTCTGTTGTCGTATTCATTGTGGTGACAACCGTATTTCTATGGCACGTTGTAAAGCATGCAAACACATTTTCGTGCCGCACACCATCTTACTTACTTACCATCTTCTGTTTCCCAGGCACGTAAGCATGCTAAGAAAATACATGTGACTCGGTTGAAGATTTTGCTCAAGATACCAGATTCTGTTTATGGTCAGCCCTTAGTCAATTTGTGTTTTAAAATGTTTTATCGACAGACTTCTTCATTTTCTGCGAATGTTCGAAACAGTTAGAAAAGCTTTCCAGACTCATAGATCCCAACGGCTTAGCAATATATTTTTGACCTCATAAAGCCACTTTCTCAAATACCAGCAAAGTCAGAAAACTCAGCTAAAATCTTAATACTGTAGATGAAAATAAAAAAGCATAGATGCCATTATATGAGGTCTTTACCATGAAAAATTTATACTAAAACAAATCCGGACCGGATCAACGGATTAGCGCGGGTTGGCGGATTCATGTACCCCCTATTCACCACATATTTATAGATTTACAGCTGCGTTTCAAAATACATGAACCATTTTCCTACTTTGTCTCTCTTCAGTCGCCTTGCTCTTCGTCACCTTGTCAACACGAGGCTACCTGTGTCACAAACTATAGAGATGGCTCATTCGGATGCCGCTGTGCGGAAGGCTTCATAGGAGAATATTGTGAAAAAGGTGAATTGTTTGGCATGGTTTTGTGACTGATATACATCCAATAACATTAAATACTACAATTCTCAAGTGACTGATAAAAATTTCTCTACTTAACCTTACGGCTCGAAAATGTTCTAAAATAGCTACCGAATATATATAACTAAAAAACATTGAATGCAATGCATAAAGATGTTGAATCTCTTGGTGCTCAAGTTGATTAAGCATCTGACTACGATATCAAAAGGTCTGAGGTGGGGAATTAAATCTTTATTTTTATTTTTACTTCTCCTTAGGGATCAACTATCATTCACCACGGAGGAGGGGGGGGGGGGTGTGGAGGATTTTTAGAGGATTACACGATTTTCAGGGGAAAGGAGGGGGAATCAGTTGTCGCCGACAGAGTTTAAAGGGGGGGAACTATAGAAATTGACTGTCAATTTTAAAACTGCCAATGAGTGGGGGTCGTAGGAATATTGCAGAGCCTCAACTGAGGGGGGGGGAGGGGGCGATCTGTTTAATTTTATCGTGACACAACCAAAATCCTCTGACCCCCCCCCCCCCCCTCCCTCGGCAGTAAATTATAACTGGTACCAGATAGAGTAATGCTAATTGCTAATAGCTTGATACAAAAATGTTCAACTGGACTGTGATAGAGCCAAAATATCTTAAACACCTGACTTTTGTTTTTTTTTTCTTTATATTTAGTTACTGGGTCCTGCAAAGAAGCTTACAACCTTTTCAAGTAAGTGATACCAAATGATCCTCTATTCGAGCATGAAAGAGAGACAAAATTATCGAATAGTTTCGACGTCGAGAGAAGATTTCTGACCGCAAACAAATATGATCCCAAATTAATTTCTTTTCGTATCAAACAGGTCAAACGCCAGTCAACTGGTTACATTAGACCTGGACTCTAAACCAATCACAGTTCTCTGTCAGATGGGGGATTTTGGATGCGGTGATGGAGGATGGACCCCTGTAATGAAGACTGACGGCAATAAAGTAAGCCTCATTTGGCGGAATATTCTTAGCGGGGTTTTCTTGCGGATGATGAAGCGCGAGGAAGACATTTTCAGAAGCATCGAAACTAAGAGAGAATCACCCATATTCTTCTTGCGGCCCCTGCTTGCGGAAATTCTTCTGACATAAGTGCTACAATACCTTAATATCTAAAAACTCGACAAATTGCTAATTAACCCGCCTGCAAGTAGGGTAGAGTTTGATAGCTGTATTATTGATTTCATGAGGGTCCTGCCCTTGGTTATGCATCGTGTTATTTATGTTTCAGGATAAATTAAATCTTCTTAATTCTTTTTAGGCAACGTTTGACTATGACTCTCACTACTGGAGTGATAAAAACCAATACAACATCCCCGGCGGGAGGACTGGGTTTGACTCACAAGAGACCAAGTTACCGACCTATTGGAACACACCTTTCTCCGAGATCTGTCTCGGTATGAAGATAAGTGGACAGCTCAGGTTTATTGTCATTAACAAGCAGGCCAACTCTCTGTACTCTTTGATTGCTGATGGGACATACCGCGCTACTTCACTGGGTCGTAACGAGTGGAAGAAGTTGATTGGTGCGCAGGGCTCTTTGCAACTAAACTGTAACAAGGAGGGCTTTAATGCTGTAGGTATTGCAAGAATTGGTTATGTAGCTAACCAGGAAAACGATTGTGGTAGTTGTGACTCCAGAATTGGGTTTGGTACTAGAGGAGGTTCCAATGCGTGTGGAAACGTAGCATCTCATTCCCCAGATAATGGTGACAGAAACATCAAAGCTATGGGATATATTTTGGTGCAGTAAACTCTTTCAATCCATTTATTTCGTTAGAAAGCTCACTTAGAATGGGAAAGGGGAAGTGGGGTACTGAAAAGAGCCCTTTTTCATCTATCCACCCCCTCCCCCTTCTCTCCTCAAACGCCAGAGTGAGAACTTGCTAAGCAGACTATAGATTGCTACCTTCGGCTCGTGATTTACAAACTTCTCTTCCTCCTCCAGCATCCTACGTGAGTAATTTAGCCCGTAAACTGATAGAATGTGTGTTCTATTGTTTAATTATTACTAATCGTTGTTACTACTAATAATTGTTATTAATCATTATTAGTTATCAAGATTTGCGAACTAGCCCCTAATGCAAGTATAAAATCAGTTGTAAAGACTTTAAGTATACCGAACACCAGGTCTGCACAAAAAATACGTCCAACACAAGAACCTTATTATACTGTGATTTCTCCACAACAGCTAGAAAAAGTGCATATGATAATTTGATAACAAGAGCTATGAAATAAATGAAAAACAAATAAATAATAGGCAAAATAATATTTGAATAGGAATTAATAAAAAGAGGGCGCTGAGACACCATATTAGAAACGCTACAGTTAGACAATACAACTAGAATCAAGATTTCTAATTCAAATTATGATTAAGTAAATTTTTTTGCAATTAAAAGAGTTACAATATAGTGGAGTAATCTTAGAATTGAATGTTCACTGTGCCAAATACAAGAGTTCATCAGATACTTTAAATAAGATGATGTCTGCTCGGAATAAAGGTTACAAATAATGAATACCGTATATCCTCGGCCCACGCTCTTAGAAGTGCCCTTCCCTGAATAAGTGCCTACCCCCCATTTCATAATGTCAAAAAAGCGCCCTCCCCTACCGCCCCCCCCCCCCTTTGAATAAGCGCCCACCTCTTCCCTCACTTTCTTAAGTGGAAGGAATACAAGGAAAAATTGTTTCTATTAACATGTTTGAATAAACAATGCTTTGGTTTGCACGTCAGAAAGCTCGAAGCAGCTGCAACCTTTTTTAAAATTCTATTGGTTGAAATCAGGGCCTTAAAAATGTTCACAGGAAAATTAGATCTTGACTGCAGCTCGTCGCTAATCGCATTTGAAACAAAGCTGGGATTCTTTCCTTTGCTGACGAGAAGATTTGATTTCTTTTAACATGCTTTTTGTTGTCTATTCCGTTTTATTTCAATTTTCTGCTCTGATGTTGTTTGCATCTGATACTTGTTTGATTTTAACATCTGATTATTGCTTTTCCCCGTTATTCGTTTATAGTTGGGAAGAGTATCATATTTTGGTACATGATTGACCTCCCCCCCTCAGGTTTCTCTTAGTTTTCATCATAGAAATCGCCTCAAAATATGCAAAATACATAAATCTCTCAATGCAATGACATTTGTCCGATTATTCTGAAGGTTTGCAAGAATATTGCTACATCCAAGCAATTTTGCCTTGGGTTCCACGTTTAAGGGCGATTGGTCTTTTGCATAAAGAGGCCTATCCACCTTGATTTGATTTCCAGAAACGATATTTTTCTGGCACCACCGTGTGAACCACAAATGCGACTTCTTCTAAAACATTTAAGACTGTTGGTCTGGTAAGGCGCACGATTGGTTCGACTGCCATGCGATCTTTGTTTCGCACACAAGCGAGGATAAGGCATTTCCTAAGTTTTCTGTGAATATCAAGGCTTCCAGAATCACGCAGGGTGTGTACGAGGTTACTTCTTGCGCCTTCAAGGTCAATGAACCAGTTGGTCCAGCTGCACTTAAGACTCTTCCCAAAGTGAACATCATCTGGCAGACAGTTCTGCAGGGAAGGTCTCGCTCTTTGCACTGGAATTCAGTGCTAACAAGGCCTTCTTATTACATTCCTCGCAATCAGTTACAACTGCCATAACAAGGAATCTGTTGCACTTTAAGCCCTCTGCGAGACAGGTGTTACAAGCCCTTAAAGAGGGTATGTGCGAGGTGAGACCCCTTACCATGCAATTTGCGCACACAGACTTTATTGCCAAACAGTCGTTACAGCTACTTAGACATGGGGATTTACTGGACATCTCCTTTAGACCAAGGAACGAAATTAGGTGCTTTTTCAGTAGCAGGCGTGAAGAAACGCACATTTTTCATTGCTGAGATCAAAGTGCAATGATGTACCTTAATTGGTACTTACGGTATCAAACCATTGATGTGAGCCTAATTTTTCTGTCGAGGCCGATGTGACCTCACATAATGAGCGAGTTTTTTCCTGTTTTTGTAATAACAAGCTAGTGACCATCTTTGCACGAACTGAGAAAATAAAAATTTGTATTTGATAAGCTTACGTTGATGCAAATAATAAAGAAGTTTTTTTTTTGGATTGAAGCAAGCGTACAGTTCGATGATAAACTAATAGACTGCTCCCGCAAGTCTTACAGAAACGCCACAAATAATTTTCAATGCAAATTCTGGATGTCGATCTCTTTATTTACAAGCCACGGATGAATGTAAAACCGATTCTGTTGGTTTCGAAAGAAGATTTCTCGGTAATTTTGGGACTATTTCAGGCCGGATGGCAAATGATAGGTAGTTTTACATGTCGAAAAGCTTGTATTTGGGCAGAATTTGTTTATCGTGAAAGACAGAGACATTTTAATTAAAAGACATCACTTGGGCTCATGAATCACGAAACGCACCCACGTTCATTAAATATCCTAATTTTTGGGTTGTGGAAATGCAACAGATGGTCAAAAAGTTTAAAGTGTTAACCATATTGTATAATCACGGACACGGTACGTTTATTTCGAAGTTCTCTTGGTAAATTATTGAGTTCACAGGTAAATAGGAACCCATTATCACAATCTATTAAAAATTAATATCAAAACACTTTCTTTGATAGGTTTTTTTGGTATTATTATTTGATGATATGTATAGCTTTTTAACACCTAATATACTTGTTCTTAACGCACTTGTGGCATTTCTGTTTCTTTTGTCATAGCGCAGAATTTCACAAAAACCTTCTGATTTTCCATCATGCCAAGTCATCTGTACTGTCAATTGATTTTTCGTTGGCAAGTTTTTCTTTAAACAGCAACTTCCCTAACAACAAAACTGGTCTTGATGTACTCGAATTTTTTTTCCATTGACACTGCGGTCGCAAACTTGTCCCCGGGAAAACTTAACAAGTTACTCTTCCTTTATTATTAGTAACTCTTTCCTCGTACTCCTAATGGCCGCCTAAAAGATCTAACTCGCAGTATTATCAATTTTCTAGGAAAATTTGCGATTGAGAGAAAGAAGGATAGGAAATAAACGATTTTAATTAATACAACGTTTTCCACGATTGCAATACTAGTAACATGAAAATTTCTTCAGGCCTGTGATTTCGCTCATTGTACAGCATCCATGGTTTCAAAGCTTTCAACTTTAGCTTAGCATTTCACGTGAGGCCTGTTTTTTCAAACGAAATATTGGGAATTTATTCCAATTATAAAACAAAGACATGTTTATCTGGACGACTCAGGTTGCCCTTAGTAACAAACTCAAACCACCGGGTGTTACTGCAAGCTTATATAGATGTAGTGAATGCTCATTGCGCAATCAGCTCATCAGAAACTATTTAGAAAATGACGCCTCTTTGGAGTTACGGGAAAGGTAAAGCGGAAATTGGGTCATATGATTTTATAACTAAAACAACTTCAAACCTGATTTTTCACTCGTATTCCTTTCTGCTCTCATAAAACTCAATCATAGCACTGAGACATCCATTGTTGCAAAAACAAAGGAACGTGCTGGTTTGCACGTCAGAAAATCTGGAGCAGCTGGAATCGCTCAAATTCTATTGGTTGTAGTCAACGTTCCAGTCGTTCATAAGTCAGTTGCATCAGAGGCCAGGCTAAATATCTCACATCAGCGACGAGATCTCCTCTCAACATGTTTTTTGGTCTTCTTTATCCCCTTCTATTTGAGCTCTCTGCTCTAATTCCAGACCCAGCCTTTTCACAAGGTTTGTAAGATGCGTTTGAATCGTATCTCTTATTGTTTTCAGTGTTAGAACATTGATGGTGGTGTAATTCATTTAATTCAACTCAGAATCTGGATGTAAGTCTGATGTTCGCTGAATTCTATCAGTCTTTGTTTTTTTGTCATATTTTCACTTGGCTAGTGATGGGCATTGAATGCTCTTTGGAAACTTGTTTCGACAATTTGCTTTATAACTGATGACTTGGAACGCTGCTAAATGGCACAATCTCAACGTTCTTTCATGTTTATCTGCTGTTATGAAGTCCCATAGTTGAAGTCAATCTGTTGCCCTCTAACGTTCAGTACTTCAACTTGGTTTAATGCAAATAACACTCCATTAAAGTATTGATTAAAAAAGCCTTTACTCAACTTCAATTTAAATTCTAAATGCAGGCAAAAAAACAGCTACACTCCTTTAAACTTGGATAAAACTGCGGAGGTCTACAGGCTTTCGACCTCGTCATGGTTTTACTCAAAATAATTTATCAAAGACTGCCAAAATTGGGTTCGCAGAAACATTCGATTCCACTGTCTATCAGACAATTGATTGATGTTCTTCCTTTTTCCGAAAGAAAATTAAAAGCAATATGTTATAGTAAGATAATTAATACTGAGGAACAGAAACGAATGATAACATTACAGCACCGAAGAGCTAGAAATGCTTAGAATTTAAAGGTTTGTTTCTTTATTTGCAAAATTTTATTTTGAAATGTTCCCTCAGTAAATAAATATGTCAAAGTCATGTAGAATGCGCGTATATTTATGGTAAATAACACGGCAGATGTTGATAACTGCGAAGATAAGCCAATACAACTTTATGTTTGAGAGGTTTCGAACAACTATTTAATAAATTAAAATCGAAATGGCTCGTTGAAATGGCTGCGAAAAATCTATCTGCGATATTTTAAGTGTTCAACGAGGCGATTTTCTTTTTCCACCAAACTAAATTTTTCACATGTTATCCTTCTCTTTATCTTGCAAAATATCGCCTGATTTTACCCAACTTGATC